CAATATTTCTCTTGAATTGTGGTGCCCAGAACTGGACACAATATTCCAGGTGTGGTCTAACCAAAGCGGAATTGAGGGGTAGCATTACTTCCCTGGACCCAGACACTATGCTCCTATTGATGCAGGCCAAAATCCCATTGGCTTTTTTTGCCGCCACATCACATTGTTGGCTCATGTTTAACTTGTTGTCCACGAGGACTCCAAGACTGGGTCACAGCAACACATGGCAGGGGACGGCTAGTGTAACAATAATAATAGTAATAGATCAGTTTCCTTTGTGAAGTGGTCACTCTCACAGTTAATACGGGAAAGGGATTTGGAGGCGGGTCTATGGGGGTAAATATGGTAACAGCAAGGAGGGAGGGGCCAGGAGGCGGGGCCAGAAGGGAGTGCCAGCTGCTGATTGGCCGGAGGAGGAGAATGGAATGGCTCCAAGGAGAGTGGGAGGTTCTCGGCAGTTGCACAGAATAGCCGTCCGGAGCGGAAGGCAGAGAGGTGCCTCTGGGGTCAGGGGTCTGGGAATAATAATAATAATAATAATAATAATAATAGTATAATGACACAATAATGATATAGTATAATAATAAAAATAAATATAATATTAAGTCATAATATATAACTAAATATAATAATAATAATTTTACACCACCGACAAGGCCCTCTCTCTCGTTCCCACCAACTGCGCTCGAGACGGTGGTGGGACTGAGAGGAGGATCCCTCCTGATGACCTCAAGTCTCATGTGGGTTCATAGGAAGAGCTGCGGTCCTTCAAGTAGGTTGGGCCCAAACCATTTAGGGCTTTATAGTCCAAAGCCAGCACCTTGAATTGCACCTGGAAACAAACTGGGAGCCAGTGTAGCTACTTAAGGAGCGGAGTAGTTCTTTCCCTGTATCTAGATGCTGACCTTTGTACCAGTTTAAGTTTCCGAACAGTCTTTTGGGGCAACCCCACGTAGAGTGCGTTACAGTCGTCTAGTCTTAATGTGACTAAGGTGTATACCACCATAGCCAGATTGGGAGTATCAAGGTATGGATGCAGCTAACGCACACACTTTAACTGTGGGAAGGCCCACCCGGCCACCGCCGACACCTGAGCCAAGGACGACCCCCAGACTGCGGACCTGCGCCATTGGAGGAATGTGACCCGTTCACTCTTCAGGAACTGAGTAGTTTTTTTCCCTATATCATGCTCCCGTAAGCAGTCTAGCCACTGACCTTTACATCAGTTGAAGTTTTTCTGAACAGTCTTCTGGGGCAGCCCCACATAGAGCATATTACAGTAGTCTAACCTGGATGTGATTAAGACGTGTACTACCATGGGTTTCCAAGGTATAGGTGCAGCTGGCATACAAGCTTTAACTGTGCAAAGAATGCCCTCCTGGCCACCACTGACCAGGGTCAACGCCAAGTCCAGGAGGACACTGCATCTTCAGAGGGAGTGTGACCCCTTCCATCCAGCACAGGCTGCAGCACAATGCCCCAATCAGCCCTACGACTGACCAGAAGGATGTCAATCTTGTCTGGATTCAGTTTCAATTTGTTCACCCAGTCCATCACAGTTGACAGTTCAGGGGGAGGACAGTATCTTTGGCATCAGGTGGAAACGTGTGATAGAGTTGGGTATCATCTGCATATAGGTGTCACCGAACTCCAAAACTCCGGATGATCTCTCCCAATGGTTTCATATAGATGTTAAACAACATGGGGGACAGTACTGAACCCTGCAGGACCCAAAAGGACTAAGGTCATGGGCTCAAGCAGGAGTCCCCTAGTACCACATTCTAGACCCTCCCCTCCAGGAAGGACTGGAACCACTGTAAGTCCAATTTGAGTGAGGCAGTCTAGAAGGATACCATAGTTGATGGTATCGAAAGCCACGGAGTGGTCAAAGGGAACCAGAAAGGATGTTGGATGAGCTACGATGGATGATTTCAAAGTAGATCATCCAACAAGGCGACCAACGTTGTCTCAGTACCGTAGCTAGGCCTGAAAACAGACTGGGACGGATCTAGGAATAATATAACAATATAATGTAATAATAAAAACAAATGATATAACAATAAGGTAATAGTGTAATAATGCAGTCATGCCGGCCACATGACCTTGGAGGTGTCTATGGGCAATGCCGGCTCTTCGGCTTAGAAATTGAGATGAGCATCAATCCCCCAGTCAGACACGACTGCTGCTAAAGGCGGCGGATCAAGAGAACTGAGGGCCTTAGCCCCGCCTACGGGCTATATATACTCAAAGGGGAGTGGGTGGGGCCAAGGGCAGGGGAAAAATGTCTTTTTATCTTTCTAGAAGGATCCGAGGCTGGTTTGCGCAGACGCAGGAATAACCCATATGTGCAATTCACAGTTGACCACGACAGGGAATAATAAAAACAAATGATATAACAATAAGGTAATAGTGTAATAATGCAGTCATGACGGCCACATGATCTTGGAGGTGTCTATGGGCAACGCCGGCTCTTCAGCTTAGAAATGGAGATGAGCACCAACCCCCAGAGTTGGACACGACTGGATTTAATGTCAGGGGAAAACCTTTAATAATATAATATTAAATAGTATAATAATAAAGGTAAAGGTTTCCCCTTGACATTAAGTCTAGTCGTGTCAGACTCTTGGGTGTGGTGCTCATCTCTATGCCTAAGCCAAAGAGCCGACGTTGTCCATAGACACCTCCAAGGTCATGTGGCCAGCATGATTGGATGGCACGCTCTTACCTTCCCACAGAAGCGGTACCTATTGATCTACTCACATTTGCATGTTTTCGAACTGCTAAATTGGCAGAAGCTGGGACTAACGGCAGGAGCTCACTCTGCTCCCCGTATTCGAACCACCAACCTTTTGGTCAGCAAATTCAGCAGCTTATTATTATACTGGAGCCCCTGGTGGCACAGTATATAGTAAAATAATAATAATATAATGATAATATTAATAATAGCTATAACCACAAGAGCAATAATAATAATACTGGGACTTCTGAGGAATTGACTTGAATAATGCAAAGTCTGCTTCCTCCTCTCTCTATCTGTCTATGTCAATAGTGGGACCGGACTCTTGTGGGCCTGATGCCTTGAGGAGATGGGGCTGGGCCTGGGCCCCTTGCTCTCCTTCGTCTTCTTCCTTGGGGGTCTCCCTTTGCTCTGCCCCTCGGCCGAGGACGTCCCTGTGATGCAGAACCTGGACATCAAGAAGGTGGGCTTCCTGCAGGCCGCCAACAGAAAGGGGTTCCTGGGTGCCAATCCCTCTTTGGAGCACGTCAGTGCAAGGCTCTCCTTCTTTTCTGTCCTTTCCTTCCTAGCTTGTTGGGAAATGGTATCCCATTGTTTCAGCCAAAAGCGAAGCCATGCCGAGGCCGTTCCACGCATTTACCCTTGAAGCCAAGGACGATGGATCAGCCGTCCTCAAAGTGGAAATCCCTCGGTGAGTTACGTCATATATTATTGTCATTATTATTATTATTATTATTATTATTATTATTATTATTATTATTACATTTTTATGTTACGGTTGTGCTATTATGGCTTTTGCACTCATTTATTATTATTATTATTATGCTATTTCCCCCAGATTTGGATCCTGCCGGATCAAAAAGTACCCGCTGGAGACTGAAAGCCCCGGTGTTTTCAACATGGAGGGTAACACAACAGGAGATGCAACGGGAGTGCAGCAAAAGGGTATCAATGAATAGGGCTATGGACCTTGGAAAACTATGTCTCCCAGGACTCCCGGGCATCAAAGCCAAACTGCCTCTGTCCCAGAGTGAAGACTGTGGGCCCTGGGAAACGATAGCTTCCAGGGTCCTATAAGCATGGAGCCCATGGTGGTTCATATGTGGTCAAGTTGCTTCTGTTCCATAGAAAAGTCGACAAACCTTAGGAGACTACATCTCCCAGGGCCCCATGGAAACTATGTCTCCCAGGGTCCCACTGAAACTATGTCTCCCATGGTCTCATGGAAACTACAACTCCCAGGATCCCATTGAAGCTATGTCTCTCAGGGCCCCATAGAAACTACATCTCCCAGGTTCACATGGAAACTATGTCTCCCAGCGTCCCATAGAAACTATGTTTCCCATGGTCCTATAGAAATTATGTCTCCCAGGGTCCCATAGAAGCGACATCTCCCAGGGTCACATAGAAGCGACATCTCCCAGGTCACATAGAAGCTATGTCTCCCAGGGTCACATTGAAACTATGTCTCCCAGCGTCCCATAGAAACTATGTTTCCCATGGTCCCATAGAAATTATGTCTCCCAGGGTCCCATAGAAGCGACATCTCCCAGGGTCACATAGAAGCTATGTCTCCCAGCACCCTATAGAAACTATATATCCCAGGGTCCGATTGAAACTTTGTCTCCCAGGGTCCCATGGAAACTATGTCTCCCAGCGTCCCATAGAAGCTACATCTCCCAGGGTCACATAGAAGCTATGTCTCCCAGAATCCCATAGAAACTATATATCCCAGGGTCCCGTTGAAGCTATGTCTCCCAGAATCCCATAGAAACTATATCTCCCAGGGTCCCATGGAAACAATGTCTCTCAGGGTCCCATAGAAACTATATCTCCCAGGGTCCCATGGAAACAATGTCTCCCAGGGTCCCATAGAAACTTCATCTTCTAGGGTCGTTTTGAGCTGAAGAAACCCTTGGCTGTTGTTGGGAGCAGTTCTGCAGCGTCCTGAAGCTGACGTTTGTTTATGGCGAGACAAAGGACATTCTACTGACAACTAAGTAGATAGACAGACTGTATATTATTTTGCTACATGTCTGCATATTGTTGTTGAAAGAAGAAGACTCACCGGAGATATTGTTTTGTTGTATATTGGTGAGAACAATTCTTCTGTTTTGCTTTGTGTTTTTTGATCTACAGTGAATAGAACTATATTTTTGTTTCTATTTAAAGCAACAAACTCATGTGTATTTTTTGAGGGTTTTTTTATCACACTTAGAGTAAATGGGGGCTGAGACATTTTGCGGGCTACTAACGCTACTCTGACAATGGAAACTATGTCTCACAGGATCCCATAGAAACTGCAACTCCCAGAGCCCCATAGAAACTACAACTCCCAGTGTCCCACAGAAACTAAAGCTCCCAGAGACAAGGATCCCAGTGCAATGAGGTTTGTGGGCCTTGGGGTGCTACATTTTCCCCAGGGCCCCATTGCTGTTCTCCTCTCCTTTCTCCCTACAGACAAGTCCTCCATCCGGGTCCTGGACACTGACTACAACTCCTACCTGATCAGCGAGTTCCTGAGTGGCTCCACCATCTTCCTCTGCCTCTACGGTGGGACCCTCCCCTCCCCAAAAGGGGAGACCCCTTCCCTCTCTCCTTCCCTCCCTCCATGGCTTCCATGGGGTCCTCACTGGGGGTCTCTCTCTCTCTCTCTGTAGCCACAGAGAAGGAGGTGCAGGCTAACGTGCTGAAGAAGTTCGTGACCCTCGTGGAGAAGATGAACATGGACCCTGAGAGGCTCTTCTTCAGACACGAAATTGGTGAGATCAATAGAGGCCTCCCATGGACTTTTATGATCAATCAACCTGTTAGTATTGTGATCAACAGACCTATCACTTTCATGAGCAATAAACCTATTGGTTTTATTATCAATAGACATATCAGTTTTAATAGCCTTTCATGATCAATAGACCTATTGGTTTCATGATCAACAGACCTATCGGTTTCATGATCAATAGACCTATTGATTTCATGATCAATAGACCTATTGATTTCATGACCAATAGATCTATCACTTTTGTGATCAATAAACCTTATCGGTTTTATTATCAATAGACCAATCCGATTTATGATTAATAGACTTTTGTGATCAATAGACCTGTTGGTTTCGTGATCAACAGAGCTATCAGTTTCATGATCAACTGACCTATTGGTTTCGTGATCAATAGACCTATCACTTTAATGCTCAATAGTCCTATCGGGTTTGTGATCAATGGACCTATCAGTTTTATTATTAATACACCTATCGGTTTTGTGATCAATAGGTCTATCGGTTTTGTGATCAATAGACCTATCAATTTCATGATCAATAGATCTATCACTTTCATGATCAATAAACCTATTGGTTTTGTGATCAATAGACCTATCACTTTAATGCTCAATAGTCCTATCGGGTTTGTGATCAACGGACCTGTCAGTTTTATTATTAATACACCTATCGGTTTCGTGATCAATAGGTCGATTGGTTTTGTGATCAATAGACCTATCAATTTCATGATCAATAGACCTATCAATTTCATGATCAATAAACCTATTGGTTTCGTGATCAATAGACCTATCACTTTAATGATCAATAGTCCTATTGGGTTTGTGATCAACGGACCTATCAGTTTTATTATTAATACACCTATCAGTTTCGTGATCAATAGACCTATTAGTTTCTTATTGGTTCCCTTGCTAAAAGACTTATTGGTTTTCTAACCAATTATTTCACCAATCGTCTTGCTAATAGGCCTAATGGATTTCCTACAAATGCTTTTATTGATTTTCTTCCCAATAGACTTACTGATTTCATTGTCTGTAGACCTATTGGTTCTCTTAAAAATTGATTTATTAGTTGTCTTAACAATAAACATATTTGTTTTCTTAAAAATAGACTTATTGGTTTCCTGACCTATGGACCTATTGGTTTTCCTACTAATTCTTTTATTGATTGTCTTTCTAATTATTGATTTGCTTAATAGACCTAATTTGATTGATTTTGCCAAGAGACAAATTGATTGTCTTACGAAAAGATTTATTAGTTTTCTTAGGAATTATTTTGATTTTCTTATCAATAGACCTATTGATTTTCTCATAAATTATCGTAGTCATTTCCTTGTCAATAGACCTATTGATTTAACAACAAATGATTTTATTGGTTTTTCTGACTAATGATCTTATTAATTTTCTTTCTAATGATCTTATTGATTTCCTTGCCAAGAGTCAAATTGATTTCCTTGCCAAAAGACGTGTTAGTTTCCTTAGGAATTATTTTATTGATTTTCTTATCAATAGCTTATATTGATTTTTTTTACAAATGGTTGTATTGATTTCCTTGCCAATAGACCAGTTGGTTTCTTACTGATTTCTTTTCTAATAATCATATTGATTTCCTTGCCAATAGACTTATTGATCCTTGTGAACCTCTTTCCCTTTGCAGATCTCTGCTCCATTAAGAAGAGAAAGGAGGAGAGCAAGTGAAAGGCAGTGCAAATCTTGGATCCACGGTCCTTCCCTTCCCTTTTTTGCAGCAGGATCCCATTGTGTTCCACCTTCCTTTTGCAGGGAAGAAGGGACTGCAACGCCCTTGGAGCCTTGCCTTTTGCAGAGGCTTCTTTCCAGCTCCCGGGACTCTTTCCTCGTCCGTTTATTTATTATTCCGTTTCAATAAAGGCACAGTTTAAAAAGACCCACCTGGAATGGCTTTCTGGCATGTTGCCTTCTGCAGAATGTAGGGCAGTTGAGGCTCCTGGCCACAAAAAAGGGATCTCAGGAGGCCATAGTGTGATGAGCCGAGAGTGTGGTGCGGCAGTGGAAAAGACCCATCCGATTCTAGAGGGAATCCAGAGTAGAGAGTTAAGATGGAGGGAATTGACAGTCCAGCTGTCCTGCTTTGGTCAAAACTCACCTAGAATCATCTTGTGTATTATTATTACTATTACTATTATTATTATTATTATTATTATTATTATTATTATTACACAACAAGATGAGTACACAGCAAATAAGATCACTCTGCTGGCTTTTGTAATAAAATGGGACTAATAATAATTATTAGTATTATTATTATTATTATTATTATTATTATTTGGGATGATAATAAAAGTGGGCCTAAGAATGAATAATCTGGGATAATAGTAATTATTATAATAATAATTTGGGATAATAATAAAAGTGGAAATAATAATAAAAAGGAATAAAACTAGGACTAATAATAATCATGTGGGATAATAATAATTATAATAATTAACTGGGATAATAATAAAAGTGGGAATAATAATAATAATAATAATAATAATAATAATAATAATAATAATGGTTATCGTTGTTACTATTTGAACCACAATAAGATGAGTCCACAGTAGACACTCTGCTGGCTGTTGTATTAGATCACACGTCGGACACTTCCCAAGTGTCTAGGACTGTGTGATGAATCGGTGAATAATGCATGCAGATCCAAGTTGGGTGACCTTTTACAGCTGACAGGTAGTGATTTTGTCAGCAGCTATTGTTTTTAAGTGCAGGCCAAGGTCTTCAGGTACTGCACCAAGTGTGCCGATCACCCCTGGGACCACCACCACCATCATTATTATTACTAGCCATCCCTTGCTACACGTTGCTGTGGCCCAGTGTGTGTATATGTGTTTTATGTAGGTATATATGTGTATTTGTGTATATGTGTATATATGTGTTTGTGTGTATATGTGGTTCTGCATATGCGTTGTAATTTATTTTTTGTCTTTTTAAGTGCCTTCTGTGATGGTCACTCGCTGGCCTGATAGGTGTATTGTGTCCAAATTTGGTGTCAATTCGTCCAGTGGTTTTTGAGTTATGTCTATCCCACAAATAAACATTACATTTTTATTTATATAGATTAGCAGCATAATGACCTTTAGTCAAACCTTAACCTAGAATAGCAGTGTTAAAATAATAATAATAATAATAATAATAATAATAATAATAATAATAATAATGTTATTTATAATATTATCATCATCATCACCACTGGGTTGTTGTGAGCTTTCCGGACTGTCTGACCATGTTCCAGCAGCATTCTTGCCTGACGTTTCGTCCACATCTATGGCAGGCGTCCTCAGAGGTCTGTTGGAAACTAGGCAAGGGAGGTTTATATACCTGTGGAATGATGTCCAGGGTGGGAGAAAGAACTCCTGTCTGTTGGAGGCAAGTGTGAGTGTTGCAAATTGGTTACCTTGATTCGCATTGAATGGCCTTGCAGCTCCAAAGCATGGCTGCGTCCTGCTTGGGGGAGTCTACATAGGGATCAGCACCATAAGCTTTAGTAAAAAAAAAAATCACCCGGAATAACAGTGGTATTAGAATTATTATTATATTATATATATTATATATATTATATATTATTATTATTATTATTATTATTATTATTATTATTATTTTACTATTATCAGCATCATAAGCTCTACTCAAACCTCACCTGGAATAACAGTGTTATTATAATTGTTTTATCATTATTCTCTATTATTATTATACAATACTTATTATTTTATTATTACTGTCCAATATTATTATAGTATTCTATTATTATTATTATTAGTAGTAGTAGTAGTAGTAGTAGTAGTAGTAGTTAGGAGTGTGATGCAGCAGCTCGAAACACCAAGGTGACTCTAATAGGACTTTTGCTTTGGTCAGACCTCAACTGGAATCACGCTAATTGCAAATGTTATATAATAATTATTATATTTGTAATTATATCTTCATGATTATGATTGCAACTCTGGAGAGATGTGCAGGAACTGCTGGCTCTGCAGCCTTCCAGCTGAAAGAAAGGTTGGATCCTTGCTTCCTTCCTCAACATCCCATCCATATTCAGTTTGTGCTAAATAAGAGCCCCATTAGGAAGAAAGGCGCCCGCCTTGACTTGACCTGGTTGGGAAATGGGCCCAGCCTCTCACCCTTTGACCACCTGAGCCAATGAGGAGCCTCCCTGGGGCCCTCAGGAAGGCCCTGATTGGCTGGCCTCGCCTTGGCCCCACCCCTCCAAGCTTGCCCTAGGATTTAAAGCCAGAAGGGAGTAGGAGGCAGATAGAAGGCCAAGGAAGGCAGGTAAGCAGGTAAGTCCTTAAAGGGACAGCGCCCACATTGACCATCCCTCCCCTTCTTTTGCATTATTATAATAATACTTATTATAATATATTATAATGGTAAGAACAATATAAAATAAACAATTATATTATAATATATTATAACAATATATTATAAAATGAAAGCCATCATCGTTATATTGCTACAATTATTAAATAATTTCTATAATATTGTAATACTATAATGCGGACTGCTTTGGAAGGAGAGAGGAATCTTCACAGAAGCTGGATAGGCCTCTGTTGGGACAGTTTTGGTTGTGGATGGGGCCAGGCTAGATGTCCTTTGTGGGTCCCCTTCCAATGGCATGATTCTGATTCCATTGAATATCCATGCTGTTTGGTCCCTTCTTGGCCATGGGGAACTATGACTCCCAGTCCGATAAACCCACTCCCTCTTTGAGCCTCTGCTTTGAGTAGGAAGGAAGACTTTGTTCTGTTCTGTTCCCTTTGGACTATAAAGCCATTATCCTCCCATGCATGCTCTCTTTGGGTTTGTTATTATTGTTGCTATTATTTCCAGCCTCTGTTCATTGGGTTGAACAAGGAGAACCCATTAAGACATATACACAGTGCCCTGCAAAGTCACCCACTGAGACATCCTCCTCCCTTCCTTTTCCTTCCCTTTTGGGGCTTCAGGGTTCCGTCGTCCACAATGGCGCTGCTGGTCCTGGGCTTCATCCTCCCTGGAGCGGCCCAGATGCCCTCTGGGATCCCCATCCAGCCGGGCTTCGACTACAAGAAGGTGAGTGGGGCCGGTCCCTTTATGGCTGGGGAGGGAAAGTCGGTGGGAGGACCACTAAGGGGGGGGGGGCACACTTTCTCAACCTCGAGGCAAAGCCCTCTCTCTCTCTCATTTATTATTTCTATCGATCTATCATCTATATCTCATCTATCATATATTTATAATCTCTATCTGTCTTCCTATCCATCCATCCATCATCTCTCTCATTATCTATCTATCTGTCTGTCTGTCAATCATATATTTATAATCTCTATCTGTCCATCCATTCATCCATCCATCATATCTCCCTCATATATCTATTATATATTTATAATCTCTATCCATCCATCCATCATCTATCAACCAACCAATCAATCAATCAATCAATCAATCAATCAATCAATCAGTCTGTCTGTCTGTCAATCATATATTTATAATCTCTATCTATCCGTCCATCCATCCATCCATCCATCCATCATCTCTCCCTCATTTATCTCTTATATATTTATAATCTCCATCCATCAATCCATCATTCTATCTGTCTGTCTGTCTGTCTGTCTGTCTGTCTATCTATCTATCTATCTATCTATCTATCTATCTATCTATCATATATGTATTTATAATCTCTATCTGTCTATCTCTATCTATCCATTCATCATCTTGCTCTCATCTATCATCAATCAATCAATTATATATTTATAATCTCTATCCATCTTTCTGCCTATCTATCTATCTATCTATCTATCTATCTATCTATCTATCTATCTATCTTTCTATCCATCCATCATCTCTTTCATCTATTGTCTATCTATCAATTATATATTTATAATCTCGATCCGTCTATCTATCTACCTACTACCTACCTATCCATCCATCCATCCATCCATCCATCATCTTTCATCTATATCAATCATATATTTATAATCTCGATCCATCTATCCATCCATCCATCCATCCATCCATCATCATTCTCTCATCTATTGTCTGTCTGTCTGTCTATCTACCTACCTACCTACCTACCTACCTATCCATCCATCATCATTCCCTCATCTCTCATCTATCGTCTCTCTCACTCTCTCTTATCTCTCTATCGTATATTTATAATCCCTCTATCTTTCCATCCATCCACCCACCCATCATCTATCTATCTATCTATCTATCTATCTATCTATCTATCTATCTATCTATCTATCTATCTAATCTGTCCATGTTTATCTATCTATCTATCTACCCATCCATCCATCCATATCTATATCATATATTTAAAATTTCTATTTGTTTTCTATCTATTCATCCATCAATCACCATTCTCTCATCTATCGTCGATTTACCTATCTATCTATCTCTTATCTATCGTATATTTATCATCTCTATATCTTTCTATCCATCCATCATCTCTCTCTCATTCATCTATCTATCTCATCTATCTATCTGTCTATCTAATCTGTCCATCTGTTTATCTATCTACCCATCCATCCATCCATCATCTCTCTCATTCATTCATCTATCTATCTATCTATCTATCTATCTATCTATCTATCTATCTATCTATCATCTATCTATCTATCTATCTATCTATCTATCATCTATCCATCTATCTATCTATCTATCTATCTATCTATCTATCTATCTATCTATCTATCTATCATCTATCTATCTATCTATCTATCTATCTATCTATCTATCTAATCTGTCCATCTGTTTATCTATCTATCTACCCATCCATTCATCCCTAATGTCAGGGCAGGCCAAGGGAGGGAAGCCATGCAGCCGAGGCTCATTGTGATGAATCTGCAGGGATGCTGACTTGGGAGGTGCCTGGCGCCACTCCAGAGATCTGCCACTCGGCACAATCATCATTCCTGCATTTCTCCCACTTTAAAGAGAATTTATCTTGCATTTTCAAGGCAGGCAGGAAGGCCCTGCTTGACCCGTTCAGCCAGCCCTGGGTCCAGGCCTGGGGAGGCCTCCTCTTCTCCATGGAAGGAGGGAAAAGAAAGGGAATCAATGTAGGCTGACACTTGGGAGCTGTCGTTTCCCCAAGGTCTTTTTTGGGCACTTTCTGTCCCAAGAGAGCTGGGGATTTGTCAAACTAAGCTGTGCAGAAAGCGCTGCCAAAGGGCCCGCAGGCCCTTTGTTACACTGACATTATGGAAAGGATCCTGGGATGTGTAGCTTAAGCTGGAGACCTTGGGAAACTACAATTCCCAGGGTCTCCCAGCTCATGAAAGGGGGACATTGAGACTGAAGCATAAAAGGGACTCCCAGGATTTGTAGTACAGCCCTTGCAGGGAAGATGGGGCTCAAGGCCTTGGGAAATGGCAACTCCCAGGATCCTATGGTGTGTCCCACTCTAGAATGAGCCTTGGACCCTGTCCTTTGTGGAACTGCAGGGTGGCTTTCAATGGGGTCTTCCCCCTTTGCCTCCACAGCTGGAGGGGTTGTGGCAGCGGCTGGCCCTTGTGGCCCAAGGGCAGGAGCCCATCATCCTGGGCACCGAGATCCAGGTCTTCCCTTTGCGCAAAGGAGACCTCTCTGTTGGGAGGAACATCGTGGTGTAAGTACAGGGGCATGGGAGGGAGGGGAAGAGAGGAAGGGGAAAAGAAAGAAAGAAAGAGAGAGAGAGAGAGAGAGAGAGAGAGAGAGGGAGGAATAGAATATAATAACTTCATTATCATTGTATAGTGTGCAATGAAATTAAATGCCTCCCCTGATCACATTGTGTATGTGCAAATTACAAAACAAGGACTCATCCTTCCACTTTCTAATCGATATTGCACAACCCCTAATCCCCGTGGCATTAGGGGAGGGAGGAGAGAATGAAGGGAGGGAGGAAAAGAGGGAGGAAGGGGAAAAAGAAAGAAAAGGAGGGAGGGAGAGAGGAAGAAAGGAAGGGATGGATGGATGAAAGGAGGAAGAAAGGAAGGGAAGAAGGAAGGAAAGAAGAAGAAAAGGAAGGAGGGAGGGACGGGATGGAGGAAGGAGAGAAGGATGGAGGAAGGGATGGAGGAAGAAAGGAAGGACGGAGGGAAAGAAGGGATGGAGAGCGGAAGAAAGGAAAAATGGAAGGAAAAAAGGAAGGACTGAAGGGATGGAAGAAGGCAGGAAGAAAGGAAGGAGGAAAGGAAGGGATGGAGGAAGAAAGGAGGGAAGGGAGGAAGGAGAGAAGCAAACAATGGAGGGAGGGAGGGAGGGAGGGAGGGAGGGAGGGAGGGAGGGAGGGAGGAGGGAGCAAGGGGAAAAGGAAAAAACGGGAGGAAGGAGGGAGAGAGGGAAAGAAGGAGGAATGGAGAGAGGAAGAAGGAAGGAAAGGTGGGAAGGAAGGAAGGAGAAAAAAATTGAGGATGGAATAAAGGAAGGGAGGGATGGAAGAAGGTAATGGAGGGAGGAAGGAGAAAACAAAGGGAGGAAGGAAAGAAGGGAGAAGAAAATGGAAGGGAGTTTGAATTATTTATAAACTAGCCGTCCCCTGCCATGCGTTGCTGTGGCCCTGTGTGTTTTGTGTGCATATATATGGGTGTATATATAATTTGTGTATATGTGTATTTATGTGGTTATGCACATGCGTTGTAATATATATATGGCTTTTAAAGTCTCCTTTGATATGTTTTCCACTGTTTGTATGAGTGATGATCACTCGTCGGCCTGATAGGTGTATTGTGTCCAAATTTGGTGTTAATTCGTCCAGTGGTTTTTGAGTTATGTTAATCCCACAAATGAACATTACATTTATATTTATATAGAAGTAAATATGTTATAATATATATATATATATCCAATATAATAATGACAATTATAATATATGTTATATATTATTATAAAATATGTTAATATTAATATGTCATCGAATAATATGTAATGATAATACACAACAATGCGCAGAAATGGAACCTGTGTGTGTATGTGTAAGCGTTCAATTATTGTTCTATACTGTACTTTGACACCTGGAATTTATAGTTTCTCAAGCCCTTTCCCACTTGCAGGAGGCTCACCTGCCGCTTCATCGATTTCCGATATCGAAACACTGGCCGTTCCGGAGTATTCAATGTCTTCCGTGAGTATCCGCCACCCTGGTTAATCAAGAATGATTAAAATAAAATTTAAATATATGCTGATATTATAGGAAGCTGGCCTTCTAAATGCGAAGTGTATTGGGAAACATTAAAGGGATCCTGAAAAGCCATCTAGTCCGACCCCTAGATAGTGTTAGGAAGCATTAAAGGGGTCCCAAGCCCATCTAGCCCGACCCAACGGACCTCAAGGCTTTGAAATAACACTGTTTATGTGCCATTCAGATACCAATGGGGACCTGAGCACCGTCCATGTGGTGGATACCGACTACAGCGACTACCTGGTGCTCCATACAGAGATGGCCGGCGAATGCTCTCTATCCCTCTATGGTGAGTGGAAATACAGGGAAGGAGACACACCCCCACCTAAATTGTTTCCTCTAAAAGAGGACCCTCAAGAGAGGAACCTTTTGACCCCGTGGGACCCTCAAGGCACATCCAGTCTGACCGGGGGGGGGGGGGGGGGGGGGGGGTTAATCGAGGAAATACCAGCTGTTAGGAATTGTGGGAGTAGAAGTCCAAAACACCTGGAGGGCCAAAGTTTGCCCATGCCTGGTCTAATAATAATAATAATAATTCCTTTTCCTAAAGATATTGATTTATCATATCAGGAGTGAACCAATGATACTGTTGTAATGTTTTGTTTTATTTTTAAACCCCACAAAGTTAAAAAACTTGGCATTATATTAAATGTCCTTTGACCAGAAGCTGGCCACTTGGGAGTGCTCTGGTGTTGCTGTAAGAAGGTCCTCCATTGTGCATGTGGCAGGGCTCAGGTTGCATTGCAATAGGTGGTCTGTGGTTTGCTCTTCTCCACATTCGCATGTCATTGACTCTACTTTGTGGCCCCATTTCATAAGGTTGGCTCTGCATCTCATGGTGCCAGAGTGCAGTCTGTTCAGCACCTTCCAGGTCACTCAGTCTTCTGTGTGTCCAGGAAGGAGTCTCTCACTTGGTATCAGCCATGGATTGAGGTTCCGGGTTTTAGCCTGCCACTCTTGAACTCTTGTTTGCTGAGGTGTTTCTGCAAGTATCGCTGCAGATCTTAGAAAGCTGTTTCTTGATTTAAGATGTTGGCATGCTGGCTGATATCCGAACAGAAGATGAAAGCAGCCCTTTCAATATTGGCTGCTACTTCCCAAAGGATATCAGGTGGTGTGATATTGGCTAAACAGTGTAATTTCTCCAGTGGTGTTATGCATAGACATCTTGTGACAATGTGACATCTCTCATTAAGAGCCGCATCCACTGTTTTAGCATAGTGAGATGTATTTGACACTGGACATGCATAGTCAGCACCAGAGTAGCAAAGCAGAAGGGCAGGTATCTTCACTGTGCCCAGGATGTGCCAGTCAGCTTTTGTATATTATTTCTAGTGCCAACTTTTTGCTTTATATTCAAGCAGTGCTTCTTGTAAGTCAGAGCATGGTCCAGGGTAACTCCCAAATATCTTGGTATGCTGTAATGCTCCAGAGCTCGAGATGCTTGTCTGTTCTTCAGTCTGCATTTTAGATGGCTTACGAATCTGCTGATTTTTCCTGTAATAGGCAGTAAGCGCGCCTAAAGCTCAACCATCTCAAAGCTACCAGCTTGGGCAGTGAGGGCACGATCGTCAGCATAGATGAAACTCTCTGTCCCTTCCGGCAGTGGCTGATCATTTGTGTAAATGTTAAACATTGATGGAGCGAGCACGCTCCCCTGAGGCAGGCCGTTCTTCTATTCCTAAATATGATGATAATGATTCCTCCTTTATCTAAAGATTATTATTATTATTATTATTATTATTATTATTCATTTTTCCAAAGCCAGGGGAACAGAAATGTCGGACCGGATGAAGAAGAAATTTGAGGATTACGTCCGTTCTTTGGGATTCTCTAAAGCGGATATCAAGTACCAAGGGAAAGATGGTAAGAGATACATAAATACATAAAAATATGTTGGAAACAACAACAACCATCACTCCCTGCATTTAGAAAGTTAGCAGATCAGGGAGGAAGTGGCTTCATGCTTCATCCTTTATGGTAGGAATTTAATGTTTTAATCTCATGAGATTTTTTTGCCTGGAAAAGCAAATCCTTACCAATTATTTATTGTACTGATCAATTGATTGGTTTTAGAACTCACTACCTGGAAAAATTAGACAAGCTCCCACCTTAGTAGCCTTCAAGAAAAATTTGAAATCTTGGCTCTTCCAATGTGCCTTTGGAGAGTGACTATTTATCCCTTTCTATTTGTTCCATCTACAGCTTTGCCCTTATGGTGCAATTTCCCCAATCCTAAACTGAAAGCCTTTTTGGGCTCCTCTCAATTACACTGTTTCTATTCCTACGTCATTCAGGGTTTTATCATTTTACCGTGTCCATTTGGCCTGCCCATTGTGTTCGATTTTTTATTATGCCAATTTGCTTTATTTATTTTATTTTTCTACTGTATGCATTTTATTCTGATGTAATTTTTTGTTGTCTGCATTTTGTATTTGTACTGTGTCTTTGGGCTTGGCCTCATGTTAGCCACCCTGAGTCCCCTTCGGGGAGATGGTGGCGGGGTATAAATAAAGATTATTATTACATAAAGGTAAAGGTTTTCCCCTGACATTAAGTCTAGTCCGACTCTGGGGTGTGGTGCTCATCTCCATTTCTAAGCCGAAGAGCTGGCATTGTCTGTAGACACCTCCAAGGTAATGTGGCTGGTATGACTGCATGGAGCACCGTTACCTTCCCGCTGGAGCGGTACCTATTGATCTACTCACATTTGCATGTTTTCGAACTGCTAGGTTGGCAGAAGCTGGGGCTGACAGCGGGAACTCACGCCGCTCCCCGGATTTGAACCTGCGAGTTCAGCAGCTCAGCGCTTTAAGCCACTGCGCCACCTGGGGCTCCAAAAGATTATTATTATTATTTCTCCCTTTTCCTTTTTCCTCCACAGATCAATGCCCTCTTTCTCAGCCTACTTTGGAAAACCATCCATGATAAAGCAAGGAGTTGTTTTACATCCTGAAGAACTATCTAGAGATGTAATGCAAAGAATGAAAGCAAAAGATGAAATTGGGATCATTGGGGGGTATCTGCACTGCAAAACTGATGCAATTTGTCACCACTTTTAACTCTTTCTTTTCCGAATTCCCGTATCATTTATATTTTCCCCACAATTAAAGCAAAAATAATTAGGACGAAAATGTAATTAAAATTTGCAATGAAGCAGAAAAAATTATATACAAATAAAAATACATAAATAATAATAATAAAATACATATTATTATTATGTTTCAGGAAAAGGTACTTTATGGAAAACTACAAATCCCAGCATCTCCAGTATTCCTTTTTCCCAAGGTTATCTTTGTAACTTTTAATATATACTGCAAATAATGAACTGCATCCTTTTTTGGGGGGGATTTCAGGCCAAGTTTGGGGAGAAATAAAAACCTTTTGGACTTAATCCTGGTCTAGTGTGTTCTTCTTTACTTCTGTTGCTACCTGCCTGCATTTGGGACTGGGAATATATGGAATATATGGATATCTTTGCATATGCATAATAAGACCCCTGATAGAAGAGGCCCCAGGCTCAACATTTCAGCCTTTCCCTTACCCGGAAGTGAGACTTGGAACTTGGAGGTCACGTGGCCAAGCTGCAAACCCCGCCCCCGCGCGTGACGTCACCTCGCATGCTTGAAAACTGCCAGAGGCTCTCATTGGACAGGAATTCTCTGGAGGCGGGGCTTTTCTGTCTGTCAATCAATTATCCACTGCCTTGAGAGACACGCTTACACGGCAGATGCGCGTTGATGGCTCTTCAAGGGACACTGCGTGTTTTGGACGCCGAAGGAGGAAGCGGAGAAGGGCGGTACCTGCTCTTCCTCGAAGAAAAACCCCGGAGCCGCGTCCTGTGAGAATCGAAGGGGAGGGCGCCTCTGCGCATGCGCCAGGCAGGAGGGCCACTGCGCATGCGCCAAGGAGACAGCAGGGCAACTGCTGTCAATCATTACATTATTTTGCCAGGATTTTCTATTATTATTGTATTTCCACTAGGATTTTCTATTATTAAATTTCTATAATTAATAAGGGCAGTCCTAAATTTTCTATTATTATTATTATTACTGTATTTCCACCAGGATTTTCTATTATTATATTTCTATAATTAAGAAGGGCAGTCCTAAATTTTCTATTATTATTATTATTGTATTTCCACCAGGATTTTCTATTATTATATTTCTATAATTAACAAATACATTCCTGAATTTTCTATTATTATTATTATTATTATTATTATTGTATTTCCACCAGGATTTTCTCTTATTATATTTCTATAATTAATAAGGGCATTCCTAAATTTTCTATTATTATTATTATTATTATTATTGTATTCCCACCAAGATTTTCTATTATTATATTTCTATAATTAATAAGGGCATTCCTAAATTTTCTATTATTATTATTATTATTATTATTATTATTATTATTATTGTATTCCCACCAAGATTTTCTATTATTATTATTTCTATAATTAATAAGGGCATTCCTAAATTTTCTATTATTATTATTATTATTATTATTATTATTATTGTTGTATTTCCACCAGGATTTTCTATTATATTTCTATAAATAATAAAGGCATTCCTAATTTTTCTATTATTATTATTATTATTATTATTATTATTATTATTATTATTATATTTCCACCAGGATTTTCTATTATATTTCTATAATTAATAAGGGCATTTCTAAATTTTCTATTATTATTATTATTATTATTATTATTATTATTATTATTATTGTATTTCCACCAGGATTTTCTATTATATTTCTATAATTAATAAGGGCATTCCTAATTTATATTATTATTATTATTATTATTATTATTATATTTCCACCAGGATTTTCTATTATTATATTTCTATAATTAATAAAGGCATTACTACATTTTCTATTATTATTATTATTATTATTACTATTATTATTATTATTATTATTATTGTATTACCACCAGGATTTTCTATTATTATATTTCTATAATTAATAAAGGCATTCCTAAATATCTATATCTATATATATCCGTATTTACTATTGGAAAAAGAGCACCTTGTGGTAGGGAGTCCCACCGGCTTCGCTTTTTGGGGTCAGACTAGATGCCCACTGGGGCGCCCCCTGCCATCCTCTTCTTCAGAAACACAATGGCAAAGGGCTCCCTTTCTCTGGAAAAAAAGCCACAAAATACGATTTCAAACCAAACAATAACAACCCTTTCTTTTCCCAACAGAGTCACTGATGCTCATGACTTCTGGAGTTTGGGTGCTGCTGCCCCAGAAGCAATGGAGGTAAAAAAGGAGGATTTCTACTTTCAGGTCCCTTTCCAAAACATTCCTTTTGTGCTGATAAGTGAATAGTTAGGTAGGTAGACAGATAAGATAAGTAAAACAGGTAGATAGATAAATGGGTGGATTATTAGGTAGGTAAATAGGTAGGTAGATAAGTAGACAGGTAGATAAGATAGGTAGGTAGATACATAAAAAGATCAGCATGTAGATAACTATACAGGTAGATAACTAAACAGGTAGATAGGTAGATAAGTAGGTAGGTAAAGAAGATAGGTAAAGAAAATAGGTATGTAGATAGGTAAATAGGTAGGTATGTAGATAGCTAAACAGGTAGATAGGTATATAGGTAGACAGGTAGATAAGTCGACAGTTATATAGGTAGATAAGGTAGGTAGATAAATAGGTAGATAAGTAGACTGGTATATAGGTAGATAAGATAGGTAGGTAAATAGGTATGCAGGTAGATTAAACAGATAGATAGGTAGACAGGTATATGGGTAGGTAGGTAGGTAGATAAGGAAGTAGATAGGTGGGCAGGTACATAGATAGAAAGGTACATGGGTAGATTAAATAGGTAAGTAGATAAGTAGCTAGATAGATAGAGAGGTAGGTATGTAGATAGGTAAATGGGTATATAGATAGGTAGGTAGATTAGTAGGTAGGTAGATAGGTAATAATAATAATAATAATAATACTTTACTTATAACCCGCCACCATCTCCCCAAGGGGACTTGGGGCGGCTTACATAAGGCCAAGCCCAACAACACATCAGTAAAGAACAAGCAGTAAAGTAGGTAGGTAGATAAGTAGGTAGATAAATGGGTAGATAGGCAGGTAGATTGGTTGACAGGAAAATAGGTAGGTAGGTAGATAGGCAGCTAGCAAGCTATAAGTGATACTTTCCCATTGATAATAAATAAATGATTTAAAACCCAGCCTTGTCCTTCCTTCCTTCCTCTTTCTGACTCCTCGATTCCATCAAACGGACGGATGGATCCTCTCAAGGGCGGCGGAGACATCTCCAGACTCAGGTGAGCGCCCGGTTTAAGGCAGATGGGTCCCACTGGCGCTGCCCTTGGGCTCCACGCAAAGCCAGGACTTGACCCACTTCAATTGCAGGGAGGCACTGGCACTTGGTGGAAGACCCTCCGTGACCCTCGGCGACCTGAAGGCCACACTCCGGGTGCCAGGAGTGACCTTCAACCTGGACAAGGCCCCTCTTCCAGAGGCCAGGAAGGAGCTGCAAGGGCTGATGTTCGCTTTGGCGGAAAAAGTCCAGGCCTTAGAGCAACGCCTGCAAGGTCCGCTTTGCCCCCTCCCCTTTGCAAAATTATATTCTATCATATTTTTGCAAAATTATATTCTATCATATTTTTGCAAAATTATATTCTATCATATTTTTGCAAAATTATATTCTATCATATTTTTGCAAAATTAATATTTCTACCTGGAATGTTTCCTTTGCACAGAAAAATATAGCTGTTTAATAAGTTGTTGTTGTTGTTATTATTATTATTATTATGGCTGTGCATTTTGATTTTGTGAGTCCAAATATATATAAATATATTATGGAACACAAATAAATATATGTTTTTCATCTGACCTTTGCAGAGGTTTTGGTCGCTTCACCAGTCAGCAGCCCCGGAAAATCCACCTCAAAAAGCATTTTTGCAGCAGCAGGTGAGCCACTGCGGCATCTAGTCCAAACTGCATTTTAATATTATTTAATACTTAATAGTACGTATTCTTTTGCAATATTTAACATCCACTACTCTGTAGAACTGAGTATAATAATGATGGTGATGATAACAATACTATGGGGAACTACTAAAATTCCAGTCTACTTGGATGGAATAATAATAGTAATGATTGTTGTCATTATTATTATGGTTCCTCCTATGCATTTATTATTTAATACTATTTGACATTTAAAATGGATAATTATTATAATTCCTGTTTCATATTTATTAAGATATCCACTTACTGCATGATGTAATAATTCCTGTTGCAATTATGTAAAAATACCTAATTTCCACTATTGCATGACAATAATAATTCCAGTTGCACACTGATTAAGTAATCATATTTAATAGCCACTATTGCATGATATAGCAACAATAATAAACATCTATATATACCTAATAAAAGTGAAAATATGTATGTGGTTGGGGTGCCCACTTCCATAGACAGGCTCCGACTTCCACAGTTTCAACCCACAGTGCTGAGGAGCCACCAAAACCCTCCTTCCAATGACATTTCAGATTATAGTGAGCGCCATGAACATGTAGCTCAACCCCTGCCAATGTGCTCCCCAAACACCATCCTCCCCACCACTCAAGGAATGCTTACATTCGGGGACAATTTCATCGTAGATTTCATGTGTTTCCTCCATTGCAAACATCCCAGTGTTCCTTACTCTCTCCATTGGTGTGGAATTTGCATGATCCCGCCCACTGCCTCTCCCTTAGCCCTCTCTTACTCTTTTCAACTCTGTCTGCACAACAAACAGAGCAGAACTAATCAGCAACTGGAGGAGTTTGGGGGATTGACTCCACATGATGGAAGTTGTAGTTCACCCTGCATAATGTCAGAGCACTGTGACCCCCACTGACAGTAGACTTGGACCACATTTGGCACACATAACTAAGAAAAATACTGGAGAGGTTTGGGGGGATTCACCTTGATGTATAGCTGTTGTAATTATTGGGATTTATAGTTCACCTGCAATCAAAGGGTACTCTGCACCCCACCAATGATGGCCCTGGTCCTCCCTTGGTACACAGAACCACCATGGCCAACTGAAAATACTGGAGAGTTTAAGGGGAATTGACCTTCATTTCTGGAAGTTGTAGTTCATTTACATCCAGAGACACTGTGACCACCACCGATGACGAATGTGGACCAAAATTGGTACGCAGAAGCCCTATGACCAACTGAACCTACTGGAGGGGTTTGAGGGGACTGACCCACCATAGTGGGAGTTGTAGTTTATCCTATATTTACAGATCACACTGAACCCCACCAATGATGTATCTAGAGTGAACTTGCCCAACATAACAAACTTTAACCCAGGCAACGCTGTGCACCCAAGCTAATAATAATAATAATAATTATTATTATTATTATTATTGCAAAGACTCTGGTACAAGCCAGTAAAGGTGGTCTCAGTGGTGATTGGCACACTGGGTGCAGTGCCTAAGACCTTGGCCTGCACTTAAACACAATTGGCGCTGACAAAATTACCATCTGCCAGCTGCAAAAGGCCACCTTACTGGGATCTGCACACATTATTAACCAATACATCACGCAATCCTTGACACTTGGGAAGTGCCCAACATGTAATCCAATACAACAGCCAGCAGAGTGATCTTGTCTGCTGTGGACTCATCTTGTTGTGTTTCAAATAACAAGAACAATAAACACCTAACATTAAGACCTAATATAATTACAGTGTAATAAAGCCGCTCCATGGAAAATCAATAATTGTTGTTGCTGGCATTGTTATTATTTCCTCCCTTGACCTCAGCAATGCAATTGAAAACTTGCAAAATTTAAATATTAAAATAGAATAATTAAGCATGCAATTTGCACTGTGCCACTGCTGTGATGCATCTTGGCCAAAGTGAGATAAATATGGCTCTGTTGTTTCTCCCATCTTTCTTTTCCTGGATTTTCTCTCTTTTCTCCTCAGATCTAAGTCCCGCAAAGCCAGCGTCCGGAGCTGGGCAACCGTTTGCCAGAAAGCGGCTTCCGGGGGAATCACTCATTAACCCTGGATTCAAAAGGTACTCGACTTGACTGGCTCCTTCGACTAAATAGTATTGGCCTTGGGTTGTTGTAGGTTTTTTCGGGCTATATGGCCATGTTCAAAAGGTATTCTCTCCTGACGTTTCGCCTGCATCTATGGCAAGCATCCCAGAGGTAATATTGGCCTTATTTGTCGCAGTAATACAATACACCCCTCCCACCTTTCCTATATAAGAATATTAATTGACTTGCAATATTGATGTGCATTTATTTCCCTGTTCCCTTTCGCTCCAGGAAGAAGGACCCGACTGGAGTGGACTTTGAAGACCCTTGAATCTCCCTCCCAGTTCTTTTTCCTGCAACAAAAGGACACTCATGAGATATTTTAAATATTTTTTTATATGGCATGTTTCCTGAAAAAAATAAAGACCCTTTTAAGAATAAGAAACAAGAGCCTTTCACCCAAACTTCCTTCCATTTATGGGGTTTGCCCTAATCCATATGGATTTGACACACTATGTAGACTTCTAAAATGGCATCGGCCCCTTGTGCAGTCACACAAAAAGTGAGTCCACGGCAAAAGCAGAATCACAAGAATGGTGAATTCACAAGAATTGTGATTTCGTGATAGAAACCCAGTCCTAGGAATGGTGAGTTTACAAGCACTGTCAAAAGAATGGTGTGTTCATTTACAGAAGTACAATTGCAAGGGGGGTGAATTTAGGATGGAAGCCCAATGCCAAGAATAGTGACTTCACAATAATGGTGAGTTCATGATGGAAGCCCAATCCCAAGAATGATGAGTTCACAAGAACAATCCCAAGAACAGTATGTCCATTGCAGAAGCATAAGTGGTAATTCCACGGCAGAAGGAAAGTCACAGGAATCACAATCACAGGAATGGTGAAAGCCAAATCGCAGAATGGTCAGCTCACAAAACAGTGATTTGGTGATGGAAGCACAATCCCAGGAATTGTGAGTTTACAAGCACAGGCCCAAGAATGGTGTGTTGCAAGAGGGTGAATCTGTGACAGAATCCCAGACCCATGAACAATGAATTCACAAGAAGGGTGATTTCACAAGAGACACAACCCCAAGAATGGTGAGTTCACAATGAGTTTACCATGCTAGTCCAATCCAAAGAATGGTGAATTCACAAGAAGGGTGATTTCACGACAGACACAATCCCAAAAGGGTGAGTGCACCAGCAAAATCCCAAGAATAGTGAGTTTACCACGGAAGTCCAATTTAAAGAACGGTGAATTAATAAGCAGGATGACTTCACGACAGACACAGCCCCAAAAAGGGTGAGTTCACCAGCAAAATCCCAAGGTGAGTTCACAATGGAAGTCCAGTCCAAAGAACGGTGAATTCAAAAGAAGGGTGATTTGACAACAGAAGAAGGGTGACTTCACTAGCAAAATCCCAAGAATAGTGAGTTCACCATGGAAGTCCAGTCCAAAAAATGTGAATTCACAAGAAGGGCAACTTCATGGCAGGCACAACCCGAAAAAGGGTGAGGTCACAAGAAGGGTGAGTTCACCAGCGAAATCCCAAGAATAACGAGTTCATGACGGAAGTCCAATCTCACGGAGGGTGCGTTCCCAAGAAAGGCGAGTCTGCAATGGGGCCTCTGCACGGGGCCCCTATTCTGTCTGTGGCTGCTTCAGGGGCCGGACCACGGTGCTGTAGGCCCGCAGGATCTCCTGGCTGTTGGGGCAGGTGTACTTGAACTCCTTGACCTCGGCAGCGCTCTCCAAGTAACGCCAGACGCCCCGCAGGTCCTTGGGGATCCCGCACTGGCGGAAATGCTGGCAGACGACCTGCAAGGGCAGGAAGGGAGGACAGCGTCAGGGGCACACAATACAGATTGCACCTCTGGCTCCTGGGATCTGTAGTGCACCGCATCTCCATGGGTCGGGATCCCGGGAGCCAAACTCCAACTGGGGTTATTTGTCACAATGGCCTCAGGGAAACTATGAATCCCAGGATCCCAACCCACAGAGTTGTGGACTCCTGGGAGTTGTAGTTCTGTGGGGCCCTGAGCTTCCAGGACCCCACAGCCTTGAGCCATTGCAGTTTCAAGCAAGGGTGATCTATATGCAGGAGGGCACGGCCACAGAAGTGATTGGCGGTTCCCGGGGCCAATGAGGGGCCCCGACTTACGTGGACGATGTTGAGTTTGGGGAGGAGGGCGCAGTCGGCCAGGGTCATCTGGTCTCCGTCCAGGAAGCGCCGGCGGGATGCGGTCAGCAGGGGGTCGCGCACCAATTCGTAGTCCAGCGGGGTGTTCAGGTACTTGTCCAGCCGCCAAAGGGCCTTCAGCAGGTTCCGGTGCAGAGCTGCAGGGAAGGGTCGTTTCCCAAGGAATGAGGGTGGGAGGGCACTGCAGGATACTCTCCCCTGCCTTAGGGAAACTACGACTCCCAGCCCCCTCCCCTCTCCCAAGGCCACCACTCACTCACCTTCGTCCTGGGAAGGAATGGGGTTCTTGATGAAGGCCGAGAAGCGGAGGAAGATGTCATTCCCGGCCAGGGAGGACTCCTTGTACCTGGGCAGCAGAGTGGGGAAGCTGTGGAATGGAGGGAATGGAGAAGAGAGAGGAAGGAGGGAAGGAGGAAGGAAGGAAGGAAGGAAGGAAGGAAGGAAGGAAGGAAGGAAGGAAGGAAGGAAGGAAGGAAGGAAGGAAGGAAGAGGGAATGAGGAAGAGAGAGAAGAAAAGGAGGGAAAGGAGCAAGAGTGAGAGAGGAAGGAAGGAGTGGAGGAAATGAAGGAGGGAAGGGAGAAAGAGATAAAAGAAAGAAAGAGGAAGGAAGGAAGGAATGAGGAAGAGAACAAAGGAAATGAAAGAGGGAAAGGAGAAAGAGAACAAGGAAAGAGGGAGGAAGAGAAAGGAAGGAAGGAAACAAAGAGGAAGGGAACGAAGGAGGGAAGGGAGAAAGAGAAGGAAATGAAGGAGGAATGGAAAAGAGAAAGGAAGGAAGAGGAAAGAAGGAAGGAAGAGAAAGAAATAAAGAGAAAGAAAGGAGGAACGAGAGGAAGAGGAAGAAAGGGAGAGAGAAGAAGAAAGAAAGAGAAGGAGAGGAAGAAGAGAGAGAGAAGAAAGAGGAACGGAAGAGAGAAAGAGGAAGGAAGGAAAGAAGAAAGAGAAGGAAATGGAGAGAGAGGAAGGAGGGACAGAAGATAGAATGAGGGAAAGAAAGAATAGAATGAGGAAGAAGGGGGAGAAAAGGAGAAAAGAGAAGGAGGGAAGGGAGAGAGAAAGAAAAGAAGGAGGGAAGGGGAAGAAGAGAGAAAGGAAGGAGGCAATGAGGAAGAGAGAAATGAAATGAAGAAGGGGATAAAGAAACAGAAATAGAAAGAAGGGACAGGAAAGAGAGAAAAAGAGGAAGGAGGGAATGGATTGAGAAATAGCAAGGAAGGCAGGGACAAGAGAGAAAGGGAGAGAAAGAATACAAATAAATACCATAATAATAATAATAATAATATCCACACGAGTTCCTCTGACTGGCCTGGGAGCGAAGGTCTTGGCCAGAGACTGGGACTGGCCTGGGCTCAGGGGCAAGGCTTTGGCCTTCCTGCTCCTCCTCCTCCTCTTGCACTCACTCGGGGGGTCCCAGGGTCTCCTCCAGGAACTCCTCGATGCGCAGAGTGTCTGTCTTGGGCTCCCCCTCGTAAAGCAGCACCGGCAGTTGGGCCCCGGGTGCAAAGGCCTTCAGGACGTCCAGGGACCTGCAAAGGCAGAGCGGAGAAGTGAGCAAAGGGGACTCATTCATGCACTGCACAGCGGCTGGACTAGTTGACCCTCGGGGGTCCCTCCCGACTCAAGGACGGGTGCATTTGCAGCACTGCCCAGGGGTTGGGCTAGATGGCCTTACAACTCTAGGATTGGGTCATTTCCAGCACTGATCAGGAGGGTGGACTAGATGGCCTTTGGGGACTCCTTTCCATCTCTTCATTTCATTTTATTTACTTCATTTGTATACTGCTCTTCTCAGCCCTTAGGCGATCTCTGGGATCCTATGGATGCCCAGGTGGTCAAGGTCCTTGAGGGTCCCTTCCAACTCTTTCCGATACTGTCCGGGAGTTGGACTAGATGCCCTTTGGGAGTCCCATCTAATTCGAGGTTTGGTGCCTTACTATTATTGCTCAAGGGTTGGACTAGATGGCCTTTGCGGACCCCTTTCCGCCTCTAGGATCCTATGGATGCCCAAGTGGTGAAGGTCCTTAAGGGTCCCTTCCAACTCCACATGTGGGACTAGATGCTCTTTGGGAGTCCCTTCTAATTCAAAGTTTGGTGCCTTACTATTAGTGACCAGGGGTTGGACTAGATGGCCTCTGGGGGTCCCTTACAACCCTAGAATGGGGTCATTTTCAGCACTGATCAGGAGGATGAACTAGATGGCCTTTGGGGACCCCTTTCTGTCTCTAGGATCCTATGGATGCCCAAGTGGTGAAGGTCTTTAAGGGTCCCTTCCAACTCTTTTCAATACTGTCCAGGGGTTGGACTAGATGGCCTTTGGGGGCCCCTTCTAATTTGAGGTTTGGTGCCTTGCAACTAGTGCCCAGGGATTGGACTAGATGGCCTTTGGGGGTCCCTTACAACCCTAGGATTTGGTCATTTCCAGCACTGACCAGGAGGATCGACTAGATGGCCTTTGGGGACCCCTTTCCACCTCTAGGATTCTATGGATACCCAAGTAGTGAAGGTCCTTAAGGGTCCCTTCCAACTTTCCAATATTGTCCAGGGGTTGGATTAGATGCCCTTTGGGGGTGCCTTACAACCCTAGGATTCGGTCATTGCCAGCACTGACCAGGAGGATGGAGTAGATGGCCTTTGGGGATCCCTTTCTGCCTCTAGGATCCTATGGTTGCCCAGGTGGTTGAGGTTCTTAAGAGTCCTTTCCAACCCTTTCCCATACTGAGGATTTAAAGATTTAAAATTCTGGCACAAGACAGTCAAGGTGGTCCCAGTGGTGACTGGCACACTAATAATAATATAATAACTAATAATTATTGTTATTACTTGGACAAGATGCCCTTTGGGAGTCCTGTCTCATTCAAGGTTTGATGACTTTCCCGCACTGCCAGGGGTTGGACTAGATGATCCTTAAGATCCCCTTCCAATTGTAGGATCCATGAATTTCCCATAGGTTGGACTGGATGGTCTTTGGGCACCCCCTGCAAACTGTAGAACCTCCTCTTGGTAGCATGTACTCTTAGCCCTTTGCTGTGCAAAGAGGATGACCTTTAGGAGCCCCCTTCCAACTGGAGGACTGGTACCTTTGCAGAACCCTCCAAGGGATGGACTAGATGGCCTTTGGGGCCCCCCTCCCAGCTCTGGATTAGTGCCTTCCCAGGACTGTAAGGGGTTTGACTGGATGACCCAGAGAGGTCCTTTCTATTACTGGTTCCTCCCCGGCGCTTTCAAGAGGCGAGACTAGATGGCCTCTGGGGGCCCCTCCCTTACCGCTTGGTGTCCACGGTGGTCAGCGTGAAGGGGACCCCTTTCAAGAGCAGGATCATGAAGAGCCGCTGGCAGAAGGGGCAGTGCCCAATGGTCTCTCCGTCGTCACTGGCCTTTGGGAGAAAACATGGGAGGAAGAAGAAGAGGGTCACCCCAAAAAGTTTCCCCAAAGCCCCTCTCTTGGGAGTTTCCTCGGCAATACGGGGTTTTTAGGAAAGGAGCCAAACGAAACCAAAACGTTGGGAGGAGAACGGTTTGGTTTTGGGGCGAGGCACCAATCCATCTGCAGGCGGCACCCAAGCTGCTGCCAGTACCTCTAAGTTGCGGGTTTTAAACAGCAGTGTTTTCATCATAACAACAACAATATTTATACTGATTGGTATCTTGAATTCTGTCTTCATATTTGTATGTCAATTTGGGCTGCTGTGAGTTTTCTGGGCTGTCTGGCCATGTTTCGGAAGCATTCTCTCCTGACATTTCACCCACATCTATGGCAGAGGTTGTGACATCCGTTGGAAACGAGGGAAGTGGGGTTTATATGTATCTGTGGAATGATGTCCAGGGTGGGAGAAAGAACTCTTGTCTGTTTGAGGAAAGTGTGAGTGTTGCCATTGGCCAGCTTGATTAGCATTGAGTAGCCTTGCAGCTTCAAAGCCTGGTTGCTTCTTGCCTGGGGGAATCCTTTGTTGGCCCTGATTGATTATTGTCTGGAATTCCCCTGTTTTCTGAGTGCTACTTGTTATTTACCGTCCTGATTTTAGAGTTTTTTAAATATTGGTAGCCAGATTTTGTTAATACTAATATCCACAAAATGCAGCATTGCCCAAACACGAATCAAGGAATTATTATTATTATTATTATTATTATTATTATTATTGACACAAAAGCACAGTATGTCACAGCAAACAAGATCTATATGCTGGATTTTGTATCACAAAATCACAAGTCGAACACTTCCCAAGCGTCTAGGACTGTGTGATGTATTTTTGAATGTTGTTGTCGTTGTGTTGTTGTTATTATTATTATTATTATTATTATTATTATTATTATTATTTAGAATGTATGTATCTTGTCCTTCTCAACCCCCAAAGGGGGACTCAGGACGGCTTACAATTGGCAGTCATTAGATGCCGACAAAGAAACAGAACACAACAATTCACATAAACAAGTCAACAGCAATAAAAATATTGGCCCTTAAAATATTAACACAACCAAGCCTGAGTCCGCAAATCCAAATTATAGTCCAGAGTTCCAGTCTAAGGTCTCTTAATTGACAACAAACACGAGATTCCAGACAGGAAACAATCAGGTCCAGTTAACACCTCCCAACCAAGGCTCCCCCCCCCCCCGGCAGGAAGCAGCCAGGCTTTGAAGCTGCAAGGCCTTGCAATGCTAATGAAGCTGGCCAATTGCAACATTCACACTTGCCTCCAACAGACAAGAGTTCTTTCTCCCACCCTGGACATATATAAACCTCACTTGCCTAGTTTCCAAGAGACCTCATAACCTCTGAGGATGCCTGCCATAGATGCAGGTGAAACATCAGGAGAGAATGTTTCTGGAACATGCCCAGACAGCCCTGAAAACTCACAGCAACCTATTATTATTATGTTTAATTCTATTTTGGCATCTCGGTCAGGGATAAAAGGGGAATAATAATAAATATTATTGAACTATTAGTGAAATAAAAGGGGCCATCTTCATATATAGAGAGAGCGAGAGGGAGGTAAAGGTTTTCCCCTGACATTAAGTCCAGTCGAGTTGGACTCTGGGGGTCGGTGCTCATTTCCATTTCTAAGCCAATGTGCCGGCGTTGTCCGTAGATACCTCCAAGGTACTATTATTGGCCTGTGCTTTCACCTACCCCATTCAATTATCAGATATTATTAATATATTATAATTATATTATTATTGTAGTACCCAATACTATCATTGACCTGTGCTATCACCTATCCCATCCAACTATCAGATATTATAATTATTATTGTACTATTAATTTACTACCTAATACTATCATTGATATGTGTTTTCACCTACCTCATTCAATTATCAGATATTATAATTATTATTGTATTATATTATTATTTTACTACCTAATGCTATCATTGACCTATGCTTTCACCTACCTCAGCCAACTATTATATATTATTATAATAATTATTGTAGTATTATATTATTATTTTACTACCTAATACTATCATTGACCTGTGCTTTCACCTACCTCAGCCAACTATTATATATTATTATAATTATTAATGTAGTATTATTATTTTACTACCTAATACTATCATTGACCTGTGCTTTCACCTATTCCATCCAACTATCATATATATTATAATTATTAATGTATTATTATATTATTATTTTACTACCCAATACTATCATTGGCCTGTAATTTCACCTACCCCATCAGTCTATTATATATTATTATATATTATAATTATTACATATAATTATGCTACTCGTTTTATTTTTATATTATACTGTATATTAGTATAGTAAAGGTAAAGGTTTCCCCTTGACATTAAGTCCAGTCATGTCCAACTTTTGGGATTGGTTCTCATCTCCATTTCTAAGTCGATGTGCCGGCATTGTCCGTAGACACCTCCAAGGTCATGTGGCCAGCATGACTGCATGGAGTGTTGTTACCTTCCTGCCGGAGCAGTACCTACTGATCTACTCACATTTGCATGTTTTTGAATTGCTAGGTGGGCAGAAGCTGGGGCTAATAGCAGGAGCTCACCCCGCTCCCTGGATTTGAATTGGCAACCTTTCGGTCAGCAAGTTCAGCAGCTCAGTGGTTTAACCTACAGTGCCACCTGGAGTGCATACCCACACACACACACCCACATATATATATATATATATAGAGAGAGAGAGAGAGAGAGAGAGAGAGAGAGAGAGAGAGAGATAGTATTATATAAATAATATTACATAGAATATATATGTGTGTTCTTATTTTAAAAACTTTTATTTTGCAACTTATTGCAAGCACCTCTTGGGTTGTTTTGAAGAAACATTATTATTATTATTATTATTATTATTATTATTATTATTATTATTATTATTATTATTATTATTTTGCCTGGCAGAAGCTGCTCTCTGGAGCTGCGCCAAAGTGTTTGTGGATTTTGCAAAACATTGGGGTTAAACCGGTTTGGTTTTGGGTGACGCCTGGGAGTGAGGCATTTGCCGGAGGCTTGGGCTGTTCCTGCATGTCTTTCTCTGACTCCGAAATTAAGCACGTAATTCGAGAGGAAGGATGACAGTTCTCACCAACCAGGGAGGGGAAATTATCATAATTATCCGCAAAGGAAGTCCAGCAAACAGGCAAACAATGAGGAAGGGCCCTTATTAGAAAACAAACAAACAAACAAAACAGGAAAATGCAGAGGTCGCAAAGGAATCTGGAATCGGGGAGGATTCGAACTCACGTCTCTACAGAAACTCCAGATTAATTGGATGCACATAATTGGTCCATGAAAAGGATGGGAAGTTTAGGGACAGATTGGGGGGTGGGATGTCTCAAAATTTGGCATTTAAACCAATGTTTTTTTTTTTTTAGGGTTTGCTGTTTTCTGGGCTGTCTGGCTATGTTCCAGAAGCATTTTCTCCTGACATTTCTCCCACATCTATTATGCTGTTGATGAAGATGATAATAATAATAATAATAATCAGACTTTGTTGTCAAAGGCTTTCATAACCGGAATCACTGGGTCAATGTGAGTTTTCCAGGCTGTCTGACCGTGTTCCAGAAGCATTCTCTCCTGACGTTTCTCCCAAATCTAAAGCAGGCATCTTCAGAGGTTGTGAGGTCTGTTGGAAACTAGGCACGTGGGGTTTATATACTTGTGGAATGATGCCCAGGGCAGAAGAAAGAACTCCTGTCTGTTGCAGGCAAGTGTGAATGTTGCAATTGGCCACCTTGATTAGCACTGAATGGACTCACAGCTTCAGAGCTTGATTGCTTCCTGCCTGCGAGGGATCCTTTGTTGGGAGGCTGGCCCTGATTGATACTTGTCTGGAATTCCCGTTTTCTGAGTGTTGCTCTTTATTTACTGTCCTCAATTCGCATTGAATGACCTTGCAGCTTCAAAGTCTGGCTGCTTCCAGGCTGGACATTTCGCAGATATATAAACCCCACTTGCCTAGTTTCCAACAGGCCTCACAACCTCTGAAGATACCTGCCATAGATGTGGGTGAAACGTCAGGAGAGAATGCTTCTGGAACATGGCCAGACAGCCTGGAAAACTCACATTGACCCAGTGATTCCTGTCATGAAAGCCTTTGACAACATGGTCTGATTTTTATTATTATTATTTTATTATTATTATTTATTATTATTATTATTAACATCATCTCTTAAATAACTAAACAGTATTCCCCCCCTAATAAAGGTCTGAATACACGACCCCCAAAAATTAATGTTATAGGGTAAGGTCAATAATAATAAATAATGACTTCCTCATGAAAACCATGCCTCTTGGGGTGACAATGGCAACCTTTCCCATTATAAGCTTTGCTCCGTGGGGTTATGGACCCATATTGAGGGTCCGTTTTGTGGCCGGAATACCCCCCCCCCAAATAATAGGGACTCCCTTTGACCTCCCCATTGAAAGCATTGCGGCATTGAGGAACCATGGCAATATTTGGGGTTCAATAGCACTTCCCAAGTGTCTATGACTGTGTGATTTATCAACAAATAATGTGTGCAGACCCAAGTTGGGTAGCCTTTTGCAGCTCACAGGTGGTAATTTTGTCAGTGCCAATTGTTTTGAAGTGCAGGTCAAGGTCTTGAGGCACTGCACGCAGTGTGCTGATCACCACTGGGACCACCTTGACTGGTTTGTGCCAGAGTCTTTGCAGTTCGATCTTTAAATCCTCATATCGTGTAAGTATTATTATTATTATTATTATTATTATTATTATTATTATTATTAGAAACACAACAAGATGAGTTCACAGCAGACATTCTGCTGGCTGTTGAATTGGATCACACGTCAGACACTTCCCAAGTGTCTAGGACTGTGTGATGTATTGGCGATTATTATTATTATTATTATTATTATTATTATTATTATTATTATTATTATTGACACAGTCCAACACTTCCTGAGCATTTAGGACTGTGTGATGTATAATAACAGGTAAAGATAAAGGTTTTCCCCAGACATTAAGTCTAGTCGTGTCCAACTCTAGGGGTTGGTGCTCATCTCCATAACCCTAACCCTCTCCATTTCTAAGAGCTGGCGTTGTCTGTAGACACCTCCAAGGTCATGTGGCCGGCACGACTGCATGGAGCACCGTTACCTTCCCGCTGAAGCAGTACCTATTGATCTACTCACATTTTCATGTTTACTTTTACTTTTGCATGTTTTCGAACTGCTAGGTTGGCAGAAGCTGGGGCTAACAGCAGGAGCTCACCCCACTCCCCGGATTCAAACCTGCAATTTTTGGTCAGCAAGTTCAGCAGTTTAACCCACTACATAATAATAAAACTTACACAATATGGGGATTTGAAGATCAGACTACAAAGACTCTGGCACTAGACAGTCAAGGTGGTCCTAGTGGTGATCAGCACACTACTACTACTACTACTACTACTACTACTACTACTACTTATTATTATTATTATTATTATTATTATTATTGTTGTTGTTTTTTGAACCTCTGACCTTTCGGTCAGCAAGTTCAGCAGCTCAGCGGTTTAACCCACTACATAATAATAAAACTTACACAATATGGGGATTTGAAGATCAAACTACAAAGACTTTGGCACTAGACAGTCAAGGTGGTCCCAGTGGTGATCGGCACACTACTACTACTACTACTACTACTACTTATTATTATTATTATTATTATTATTATTATTATTATTATTTTTGAACCTCTGACCTTTCGATCAGCAAGTTCAGCAGCTCAGCGGTTTAACCCACTATATAATAATAAAACTTACACAATATGGTGATTTGAAGATCAAACTGCAAAGACTCTGGCCCTATACAGTCAAGGTGGTCCCAGTGGTGATCGGCACACTAATAATAATAATAATAATAATAATAATAATAGTAGTAGTAGTAGTAGTAGTGTGCTGATCACCACTGGGACCACCTTGACTGTCTAGTGCCAAAGTCTTTGTAGTTTGATGTTATTATTTGTAGTTTGTTATTATTATTATTATTATTATTATTATTATTATTATTGTTGGTGTTATGTCTATTATTGTTGTTATGATGATGAAGATTGAATGCCTTGCTGCATGTTGCTTGCATGAGCCTATGTTTCCCCGCAGGGTGTACTTCCTTGGGAGGGACCCCTTGTGACCTGGCGTGACCCCCCCCCTCCTCCTGTCACTCACCTTGACAAAGAGCTGAAGCTTGGGGCTCTCCTCCTCGGAGGTAGTTGCCACGGCAGCCGCTGCCATCCTCCTCCTCCTGGCTGCGGCGGTGGCCGTCTTCCCGAAGAGGAGGCAGAGCGGAGGGCTGGGTGCTTGCTGCTCCCGCTGGCTCTTGTACAGGAGGAGGCACACCCGCCAGAAGGCCCCGCCCCCCTCCTCTGCCTCGGTGCCACGCCCCCTGGGACCTGGCTGGGGCCCCTCACCCACCCAAGCGTTGGGACGGGGTGGGGCCCGGGAAGGGAGGGGTCGGCGGGGACAGGGCTCACGGCTGGACAGCGGCACCATCGGGCTTAGCTGCCCGGGCAGGATCTGTAGGCTGCGGGGCTGGCCCCCCGCCTTGGCACTCCCCGGGACCCCCTCCATGGGTGCTCAAGAGGCTCCAAAGGGTTCAGAATAGAATACACGCAAGGTGCTCCAAAGAGACTCTGAATACGTGCAAGGTGCTCCAGAGGCACCCAATTGACTCCAAATACACTCAAGGGGCTCCAAAGGCACTCGAAAGGCTCAGAACAGACTTGGGATACACACAAGGTGCTCCAAAGAGACCCAAAGAGACTCTGAATACACGCAAGGTGCTCCAGAGGCGCCCAATGGACGACAAATACACTCAAGAGGCTCCCAAAGACACCCAAAAGGTTCAGAATAGACTCGGAATACACTCAAGGGGCTTTGGAGGCACCCAATGGACTCTCAATAGACTCAAGGGGATCCAAAGCCACCCAAAGGGTTTCAAATACACTGAAAATACACTCAAGGGGCTCCAAAAGCATCCAAAGGACACTGAATATACTCAAGGGGATCCAAAGGCACCCAGAAGGTTCTGAATAGATGCAAAATACACTTAAGGGGCTTCAGAAGCAGCCAAAGGGTTCCAAATAGACTGAAAATATACTCAAGGGGCTCCAAAAGCACCCAAATGGTTCCAAAGAGACTCCAAATACACTCAAGGGGTCCAAAGGCCCCCAAAGGGATCAGAATAGACTCAGAATACACTCAAGGGGATCCAAATGCACCCAAAAGGTTCCAAGTAGACTCCAAATATACGCAAGGGGCTCCAAAGGCACCCAATGGACCCTCAGTAGACTCAAAGGGTTCCAAAGGCACCCAAAGGGTTCGAAATAGACTCAAAATACACTCAAGGGGCTTTATAGGCACCCAAAAGGTGCCGAATAGACTGAGAATACAGTCAAGAGGCTCCAGAGGCACCCAATGGACTCTCAATAGACTCAAAGGGCTCCAAGGGTACCCAAAAGATTTGGAAAAGACTCTGAATACACTCAAGGGGCTTCAAAAGCACCCAAAGGGTTCCAAGAAGACTTCAAATACACTCAACAGGCCCCAAAAGCACCCAAAAGACACCAAATGCACTCAAGGGACTCAAAGGCACCCAAAAGGTTCAGAACAAATTCAGAATACATTCAAGGGGCTCCGGAGGCATCCAATGGACTCTCAATAGACTCAAAGAGGCACCCAAAAGGTTCCAAATAAATGCCAAATACACTCAAGGTGTTCCAAAGATACCCAAACAGACTCTGAATACATGCAAGGTGCTCCAGAGGCGCCCAATAGACTACAAATACACTCAAGGGGCTCCAAAGGCACCCAAAACGTTCAGAATAGACTCGGAATACACTCAAGTGGCTCTGGAGGCACCCAATGGACTCTCAATAGACTCAAGGGCATCCAGAGGCACCCAATGGACTCTCAATAGACTCAAGGGAATACAGAGGCACCCAAAAGGTTCGCAGTAGACTCTGAATACACTCAAGGGGCTCCAAAAGCACCCAAAGGGTTCAGAATTGACTCGGAATACACTCAAGGAGATCCAAAGTCACCCAATGGACTCCTAATAGACCCCGAACACACTCAAGGGGCCACAAAAGCGCCCAAATGATACCAAATGCACTCAAGGAGCTCCAAAGGCACCCAAAGGGTTCGGAAAAGACTCCAAATACACGCAAGGAGATCCAGAGGCACCCAATGGACTTTCAATGCACTCAAGGAGCTCCAAAGGAAACCAAAGGGTTCCAAATAGACTCTGAATACACTCAAAGGGCTCCAAAAGCACCCAGAGGGTTCAGAATGGACTCTGAATACATGCAAGGGGCTCCAAAGGCACCCAAATAGACTCTGAATACACACAAAGTGCTCCAGAGGTGCCCAATAAACTACAAATACATTCAAGGGGCTCCAAAGGCATCCAAAAGGTTCAGAATAGACCCAGAATACACTCAAAGGGCTCTGGAGGCACCCTATCAATGGACTCTCAATAGACTCAAGGGGCTCCAATAGCACCCAAAGACTTCCAAATAGACTCAAGGAGATCTAAAGGCACTCAATGGACTCTCAATAGACTCAAGGGGCTTTAAAGGTACCCAAAAGGTTCGTAATGGACTCTGAATACACTCAAGGGTCTCCAAAATCACTCAAAGGGTTTGAAATAGACTCCAAATACATGCAAGGGGCTCCAGAGGCGCCCAATAAACTACAAATACACTCAAGGGACTCAAAGACACCTAAAAGGTTCAGAATAGACCCAGAATACACCCAAAGGGCTCCAGAGGCACCCTATCAATGGACTCTCAATAGACTCAAGGGGTTCCAAAGGCACCCAAAGGAGATCCAAAGGCACTCAATGGACTCTCAATAGACTCAAGCTTGCTTTGAAGGCACCCAAAAGGTTCATAATAGACTCCGAATAAACTCAAGTTTGTTGCAAAAGCACCCAAAAGTTTCCAGATAGACCCCACGCATTCAAGGGGCTCCAAAGAATACCAAATATACTCAAGGGGCTCCAAAGGCACCCAAAGGGTTCAGAATAAAATCCAAATGCACGTCAGGTGCTCCAAAGAGACCCAAAGGATTCCAAATGGGCTCTGAATACACGCAAGGTGCTCCACACTCAGTGGGTCCGGAAAACACACGACGGATGTGAAATGGCACCAAATTGGACTCCGAAACCCCGCCGAATAGGCTCAAAACACACTCAGTGGATTCGGAATATCCGCAATGGACTCAAAACCTGCCCTGAACAGGACTCAAAGGGACTTTGAAAGTACTCCCTGGACTCTGGCTGCAGAGTTTCCCCCAAATGCACTCAATGGACGCAGGCGACACTCAATGGACCGCTCTCGATGGTCTCAAAAATGCACACAACCCTCCTCCTGCCTTCAATGGGTGCAAAAGGACCCCAAATTGGCCCCAATAGCACCCAAGGGGCTCTCAGGCCAAAGCCAGCTGTTGCTGCTCCTGCTCCTTCTGCCAGAAGAGCTGCAATGGACGGATGGATAGATGGATATGGACAGCTGTCCTCTCTGCTCCTCCCTCGCTCTCTGTCTGCAGCACAAAGACTCCTCTTGCAAGGAGTCATCTAGGAGGAGTATTGGGACTGGTTTTGCTGGGAGGCCCCCAGGGTCGGAATCCGGGAAATGGGCAGGTTGAGGGGCCCCTGGAGCCTCTGCACCATCTAAATAAGGGCCCCGTGCAACACCGCTCTCCAAGGTCTTTCATAAACACCAACTGGGGTCCAACTGCATTCATTCTACAAACACCATGTAGTCCAACCCCCTCCCCATTTGACTGTGACCTCCGCCGGGACTTGTAGTTTGTTGATAAACTTTTAACGTCCCCCTGTTGAGGGTTGCTGGGTGTTGTAGTTCCAATGAGAACACATGCTTTGTGGCTCAATGCTATTGGGTTCCTGGGATCTGAAGTTTGGCAGTGAAGGCTGTGGGCCTTGGGAAACTACAAACCCCGAATTATTCTTGACTAGGAATCACTGCTGTTGTTTTTTAAATTGCAAGATAATAATGGTAATGATAATAATAATATTTTGTGGGAAGCATTCCCAGCTGGCAGAGAAGAGAATGGACCTTGTCAAACTATGAATCCCAAACAACTGACACTGCTGTTGGTTTTTTAAAATTGCAAGATGATAATGATAATGATAATGATAATAATAATAATATTTTGTGGGAAGCACTCTCGACTGGCTGAGAGTAGCTCAACGGACCTCGTCAAACTACGAATCCCAAACAACTGACACTGCTGTTGGTTTTTTTTAATTGCAAGATGATAATGATAATAATAATAATAATAATAATAATAATAATAATAATAATAATTTGTGGGAAGCACTCTCGACTGGCAGAGAGTACCTCAACGGACCTCGTCAAACTACGAATCCCAAACAACTGACACTGCTGTTGGTTTTTAAAATGCATCATTTCTGGGGCCCAACTGCATTCATTCTACAGTGTTGGAAGGGACCCCCGAAGGCCATGTAGCCCAACCCCCTCCTTGTTTGACCATGACCTCTGCTGGGACTTGTAGTTATGGTGAGAAACTTTTAACATGCCCCGGTTGAGGGAGTTGTAGCTCCAATGAGAATGGATGCTGTTTGGGCCCACTTTGTGGCTCAATGTTATTGGGTTCCTGGGATCTGTAGTTCGGCAGGGAAGGCTGTAGGCCTTTGGAAACTACAAACTCCGAGAGATTCTTGACTGGGAATCACTGCTGTGAGGTTTTTTTTAATTGCAAGATAATAATAATAATAATAATAATAATAATAATATTTTGTGCAGCTGGCAGAGAAAGAATGGACCTTGTCAATTCCCAAACAACTGACACTGCTATTGGTTTTTCAATTGCACCATTTCCTAAGGTCATGAACCAAGATAAAATAATAATATTCTTTCCTATCGCACCAGAAGGAAGGAGAGAAATCCTTCAGAGCCCATTGAGGCCAGAACCATCTGGGATATTTATCAGGATCCATAGAAACAAACAACCACTGGATTTGGGAAACCCGTGCCTGGCTTCGAGTGCGAATTGCATAGAATGTGCCATTTTCCTCCGATTGAACCCTTGCAATGCAGCCGGTGGCAACAGCCCGGATCCATTGGAAAGTAGCTATTAACCTGCTTGGTTTTCTGCTGAAATGCCAAAACGAAAGTATTGATTTTGCTCCGCCGAGCCATGCATTATTTCTCTTCCAAATTAATATACTGTCCATAGAGGAACACACCTTTCTGCCTTTAGGGAAAGGGCCTCAATTGTCATGATTGCAAGCCTCCGAGGCTGAGAGAGTGCGACTCAACCAGAGGGGACTTCCATTACTAACTAGGACTTGTGTGTGTGTGTGTGTGTATATATATATATATATATAAATATTTATGTATTAATGCATTTATATTCCTGCCATTCATGTATGTTACACACACACATATACATGTATGTATATAATATGTATATATATACACACACACACCAATATTTACCGCATAAGGTTGCTATATCACCCATCTATTCCCTTCTTCTGTAATATTACTTTTAATGAATATATCTGTCCATATTATACACTTTTATATCATATCATCTATATATATATAAATGTTCATTTGTGGGAGAAACAACTCAGAAACCACTGGATGAAGTGACACCAAATTTTGACACAATACATCTAATAGTCCAGCAAGTGTTAATCGCCCCTAAAAACACAAAAAACCCCTCGTGGAATAAAAAAAATACACCATATAAATTTATACGTGCACACACACACACACACACACACATATACACAAGTACACACAAATATACACATATACATATGCACACATACATTCACACCTATATGCATATAAACATGCACACAAAAATATATACATACACACACAAATATACACATATACACACATATATACATATACACATACATACATTCACACTTATATATGCATATAAACATGCACACACAAATATATACATTCACACACAAATATACACCCATATATACATATACACATGCACATATACATTCACACTTACATACACACATATATGCATATAAACATGCACACACAAATATACACACACACACAAATATACACATATACACACATATATACATATACACATGCACACACAAATATACACACACACAAATATACACATATACACACATATATACATATACACATGCACACATACATTCACACTTACATACACACATATATGCATATAAACATGCACACACAAATATATACTTTCACACAAATATACCTATATACATACACACACATATATACATATACACATGCACATGTACATTCACATATTCATTCACCCATATATGCACACACAAATATATACATACACATATATATGCATACATACAAGTACACACATATACACAATATACATATACACATCTAAACACACAAATACACAAATATATACACACATATACACCCATACACACACACACACACACGTATATACACATATACACAAATATATACACACACAAAACACATATACACAGACTGGGCCACGGCAACGCGTGGCAGGGGATGGCCAGTGTATATGTGTGTGTGTGGGAACTGACTCGCCATAGTGGGAGTTGTAGTTTACCGCACAGACAGAGACCCCTCCGATAAGGCAGCCAGAGCAAACTTGCCCAACAGAACAAACTTCAAGTACTGAGGGAGCTTCAGGGGGTTAACATGACATGATGGGAGTTGTAGTTCACCTACAACCTTATGCATTTTGTACAATCAAAAATGGACTTTTTCCAATAACCCAGGCAATGCTGGGGACCCAAACTAGTAAATATACATAAACCAAAAGAGGCCAAGGCAAAGGAATGTATGTATGTATGTATGTATGTGTATATATATATCCACATAGGTACATAATATAGATACATGCACATTCCTTTGCGAGATCCACCCCTCCAGCAGAATAAAAATAACCGTAATAGAATATTTTCTGGATTATAGGAGTCAACAGACCTTTCGGCGGCAGAGAGGAATGCAGCGCCCTGTATAATAACAACACTTTCTGGGAAGCCACTTGCCCCCAAAACTTGCGAGACAAACAACAACAAAGCCTCCGTTCTGCACCGTGTGTGTCTCAAATGAATATGTCCAAAACCCCTGCCACAGATACCACACTGCCCATCACCCTAGTGTAGACTTTCATACGGGGACCATTTCATCCTAGATTTCATGTGTTTCCTCCACCACAGACATCCCAGTGTTTCTGACTCTCCCCATTGCTGTGGAATTTGCATGACCCCACCCACTGCCTCTCCCTTAATCCTTTTCCTATTCTTTTTTCTATGGCACATAGCAAACAGAGGAATTGAATATATTAGAGAGGTTTGGGGAGAATTCACCATGATTTATAGGAGTTGTAGGTCCTGGGATGTATAGTTCACCTGCAATCTAAGAACTGCACGCTGAACTCCACCAAAGATGGAATTGGACCAAACTTGGCACACAGAACTCCCATGCCCAGCAAAAAATACTGGAGGTCTTTGGGGAAAATTCACCTATATTTGTGAGAGTTGTAGTTCACCTACATCCAGAGTGCACTGTGAACCCAAACACAGATGGATCTGGACCAAATTTAATACACACACCCAAAATGCCAAAATTTGATTACTGGAGGGGTTTGAGGGGACTGATCTTCCTTTCTGGGAGTTGTAGTTCACCCACAAGCAGGGAAACTGTGACCTCCACTGATGATGGACCTGGACCAAACTCGGCACACAGAACCACCCCCAGAACTCTACCTACTGGAGGGGTTTGAGGGGACTGACTCACCATAGTGGGAGTTGTAGTTTACCCTGCAGCCAGTGAGCACACTGAACCCCACCCACGATGCATCTAGAACAAACTTGCCCTACATAACAAACTTTGATAAGTCCTGACGGAGTTTCTTGGGGTTAACCTGGCATGATGGGAATTGTAGTTCACCCACAACGTATGCATTCTGTATAATAAAAAAATGATTTTTTCAAATAACCCAGGCAACACCGGGTATGCAATGTAGTTATAAATATTGCCCTACTTTTACTATTATTTTTAATAGAAATTATAATTCCCCCTATTTTCCCTATTGCTTTTAATATATATTGTACAATTTTCTGTATTACTCTCTATTATTTAAATATAAATGTATTATAAAAAGTTCCTATTTCCCCTATTATTCATTATTGTTTTTAATATAAATATACGGTATATGTGTGTGTGAGAGATATACATATACATATATATATGTGTATGTATGTAAGATTTTTTAAAAATATACATTATTACGCATATTTACCCCGAATTACACATTTTTACCAGGCAGTGCCTGGTGGCGCAATGTTAACCCATTGTCAGGACTGCTGACTGAAAGGTTGGCAGTTCAGATCTGGGAAGTGGGGTGAGCTCCCATCTGTCAGCTCCAGTTTCTCATGTGGGGACATGAGAAAAATCTCCCAGGGGATGGCAATGTCCCCTGGGCAACATCCTTGCAGATGGTCAATTCTCTCACACCAGAAGCGACTTGCAGTTTCTCAAGTCGCTCCTGACACAACAACAAAAAAAAATCAACCCAATCCTGAAAAAAAAATACTATGCCAAAAATGGATGCGGTCACCATAAAATGGTTATGACATTTTTTTATTAAAACAATAATTATTATTATATTCACAGTTATTTTCTCTTTCTTCTTTTTTTTTGCAAGCGATATACAGGCTGTCTCCGATATGGGATGCAACCGGAAAGAATAAAATGAAATCAATCCACAATATTGCAAATGGAAATAATAATAACAATAACAACAATAATAATAAACTTATAAATTAAAAATAATCAGAAAAGCACATCATCTCGTTGAATCATCATCACCATCATCATAAAAAGACCCCAAGGAAAGCAACTGGCCATCTTATTCATCTCCTTTTTGGACTACAGTTCCCATAATCCTGTGCCATGATGGGATTTGTAGTCTCCAAAAAAAAGAAAAGAAAAGAAAAGAAGGGAGAGAAACATTTCCAAAGCAAAGGTAGGAGCTATGCAGCATTCCAGATATTTCAGGACTTCAATTCCCATCATTCTTCACTATTATCCAGGGATGATGGGAGTGTGATTCTGCGGGAAGCAGCCCCCTTTTGGCACAAAGTGGGTACAGGGTTTTTTTTGGAAGGAAGATGGGAAGCCGCATCTAAATTAAATTGAATTAGATGTACTAAATTGCTGGATCAGGGATACTGGGAGTTCTAGTATTAATAATAATAATAATAATAACAATAAGATAATAATCGAGGTTAAAACTCCCTTCATTTGCATTTGGGCCTGGGCCCCCACTACATCATCCCATCATCCACAAATCATGAGACACCCCATCATCCACAAAATAAGACGTATCCCATCATTGACAAAAAATTTGAAGTACCATCCACAAAACATAAGACAGAATATTTGACATCCCGTCATCCAGGAAAATAAATAGACATCCCATCATCCACACAATATGAGACAGTCCATCGTCCATGAAATAGGCAACATTCTATCCATGAAATAGGTGACATCCCATCATCCACAAAGTATGAAATGTACCATCCACGCAACAGGAGACACCCCATCATCCAAGAAGCAGGTGACATCCTATCATCCATGAAATAGGCAACATCACATCATCCACAAAGTATGAAACATTTCATCCATGGAATATGAGACACCCCATCATCCACGAAATAGGTGACATCCCATCATCCACAAAATATGAAACATATCACCTATGGAACATGAGACATCCCATCATCCACGAAATAGGTAACATTCCATCATCCACAAAGTATGAAACATATCATCCACGGAACATGAGATACCCCATCATCCACGAAATAGGCGACATCCCATCATCCACAAAGTATGAAACGTATCATCCACGTAACAGGAGACATCCCATCATCCACAAAGTATCAAACATATCATCCATGGAACGTGAGACACCCCATCATCCACGAAATAGGCGACATCCCATCATCCACAAAGTATGAAACGTATCATCCACGTAACAGGAGACATCCCATCATCCACAAAGTATCAAACATATCATCCATGGAACGTGAGACACCCCATCATCCACGAAATAGGCGACATCCCATCATCCACAAAGTATGAAACGTATCATCCAAAGAACAGGAGACACCCTGTTATCCACAAAACAGGCGACATCTCATCCATGGAAAAGGCGACAGCCCATCATCCAAAGAATATGAAATATCCCATAATCCACGAAAAAAGAGACATCCCATCATCCAGAAAATAAGCGACATTCCAATGCCGATGAAATAAGGGACAGCTCGTTATCCACGAAATAAGAGGCATCCCATCAGCCATGAAAGAGGAGAGGTCCCATCGTCCACGAAATAGGGAGACATTGCATCCACGAAACGGGATATCCCATCATCCACGAATCAGGCGACAGAGAGACCCCATTGTCTTAGAGACTCCAAATATAAACAAGGAGAAAACAAGCTCCTGCTGGTGTGCGGTGCTTCCTGCCCGCCACGGTCATGCTTCTTGGTGGAAGGGACCCCCATTTTTGGAGTTTCCCAGGACATCAAGGCCTACCCTGCAGGGAGCGCTGGCCTCCTGGCCTACTTCTGGGGTCACGCCCCCCCCTTTTGAAGGGCTCGCTGGACTGACTGCCCCAAAAAGTCATAGCCCCCTCCCCATTCTCCTCCTTCAGGGCGAAAGGGCCCTGTAATGGGGACCCCAAAGGGCTGCTGGAGTGAGGTTTTGGGGTCCAATGGTTCTGGGTTCGAGGGAAGGGCCCCTCAGCAGAAAGTGTCCGTGTTGAAGGAGAGCTGGGCCTGTGTTTTGGGACAGAAAGGAGAGGAAGAAGAAGAGAAGGGGGAAGAGGGAAGAAAGGAAAGAAAGCAGGGACAGAAAAGAGGAGGAGGAGGAGGCAGGTGAGGGAGGAAATGATGGAAGAAAGAGGAGAAGAGGAGGAAGAGGAGAAGAGGCAGGTTAGAGAGAAAAAAGAGAAGAAGCAAGGACAGGGAAGAGGATGGAGGAAGAGGAGAAGAGGCAGGACAGAGAGAAAAAAAGGAAGAAAGAGAAGAAAGAAAGCAAGGACAGAGAAGAGGATGAAGGAGGAAGAGGAGAAGAGGTAGGATAGAGAGGAAAAGAAGGAAGAGAAAAGAGAGGGAAGAAAGCAGGGACAGAAAAGAGAAAGAAGATGTTAAGGAGGCAGTAGAGGGAGGAAGCAATGAAGAGAGGGAAGAGGAGGAGAAGGAAGAGGAGAAGGAGGAAGAAGACAAAGGGAAGGAGAACAACGACGAGAAGAAAAGGGGGAAGAAGAGATGGGGAGAAGAAGAAAAGCGGAAGAAGAAGATAAGGAATCAGTAGGAGGAGGAAGCGATGGAAGAGAGGGAAGAGGAGGAGAAGGAAGAGGAAAGGGAGGAAGAGGAAAGGGAGGAAGAGGAAAGAAAGCAGGGACGGAGAAGAGGAAGAAGACAAGAGGAAAGGAGGACAACAATGAGAAGAAAAGGGGGAAGAAGAGATGGGGGAGAAGAAGAGAAGGGGGCCGGCAAGGGAGGAAGTGATAGAAGAGAGAGAAGAGGAGAAGGAAGAGAAGGAGGAGGAAGACAAAGGGATGAAGGGAATAAGACACAAGGGGGAAGAGAAGGAAGAAAAAGAAGAGAAGGAGCAGGGAAGAGAGGAGGAAGAGGATCAAGAGGAGGAGGAGAGAAAAGAAGAATAGCAGGCAGGGAAGTTAAGGAGGAAGCAGAAGAGGGGGAAGAGAAAGAGAAGAACCAAGAGGAGGAAGGAGAATATGGGAACATGAAGAAGGGGAAAGAGGAGAAGGAAAAAGAAGATGGGAAGAGAAGAGGCAGGACAGAGAGGAAGAGGAGACATAAGGAGAGGAAGCCAGGCATAATGGCTCCTACTCTGGAGCCCAAGAACTTGTAGTTCCCTCCCAGAGCCCCCACTGCGACCCCCAGCATCCCCAGCTGCTCACCCGCTCTTCCTCGAAGCTGATGAGCCCCTCGTCATCGTCATCGTCTTCGTCCTCCTCGTCTTCCTCCTCCTGGGAGTCTGGCCCCCGGGACCCCTCCTCCCCTCCCCCTCCTTCCTGGGGGGCCACCAGGGGGCGGAGCTCAGTGGGCGGGGCCCGGGGCCGGAGGAGGGCCAGCAGCCGCTGCAGCAGCGGGGACTCCATCAAGGGACACTCTGCCCGGAGGGTGGCCTCCTGCTGCTCCAGGTTGTCGCTCTGCTTCTTGGCAAAGTTCACAAAGACCTGGGTCGGGAATGAGAGGAAAAGGGTACTCCCTTCCACTCTGGAACCCATCACTCTGTGTCATGGGGGGGACTGAATACATGCCCCTTTATCCCAATGCTGAAGAACGCCTTATCCACATTAAAATTGTACTCTATAACCCATTACTCTGCATCACAGAAGGCCGAATGCACACTTAGAGTGGGGGATTATGGGAACTGCAGTGACCAACAACAGTTCAACTTCTCCCCTGAAAATATGAAATTGTAACTCTATAACCCATAACTCGGCATCACAGAAGGAGGGGGTTTGCACAAAAGCTCTGTTATTCTGAAGCTGAGTAGTTTTGGTCTGAACCACTCCGGGTTTTGGTTCGAACTTTAAAGGGATCTTTGCCCAGGTTGCTGGGCACAGAAAGGAAAGAGTGTTGGGAAACATTTAATGTTCAGGATAAAACCCAGAGCAGATCCTTTCCCTCTTCCCTTTCCTTCTTTTCTCTCTCTTCCTTTCCCTTCCCGCATTTTCCTCTTTTCTGAATTCTTCCTTCCCCTCCCTTTTCCCTTCCCTCTTCTCTCCACTTCCATCTTCCCTCTTCACTTCCTTTCTTCTTCCTTCCTCTTCCCTTCTCTCTTTCTTTCCCTTCCCGCATTTCCCTCTTTTCTTTCTTCCTTCCTCTCCCTCCTCCCTTCCCTTTTCTCTCCCCTTCCATCTTCCCTCTTCCTTCCTTTCTTCTTCCCTTCCTTTCCTTTCTTTCTTTCCCTTCCCACATTTCCCTCTTTTCTTTCTTCTCCCCTCCCTCTTCCTTTCTTCTCTCCCCTTCTGTCTTCCCTCTTTCTTTCCCTTCCTCTTCCCTCCCCTTTCTCTCTTTCTTTCCCTTCCCACGTTTTCCTTTTTTTCTTCCTTCCCCTCCCTCTTCTCTCCCCTTCCGTCTTCCCTCTTCACTTCCTTTCTTCTTCCCTCCCCTTCCCTTCCTTTCTCTCTCTCTTTCCCTTCCTGCATTTCCCTCTTTTCTTTTTTTCTTCCTTCCTCTTCCTCTTCCCTTCTCTTTCTTTCCCTTCCCGCATTTCCCATTTTTCTTTCTTCCCTCCCCTTTCCTTCCTTTCTCTCTCTTTCTTTCTCTTCCTGCATTTCCCACTTTTCATTTTTTCTTCCTTCCTCTCCCTCTTCCCTACTCTCCTCTTCCCTTGCTTGGGGTCTCACGTTGTCCAGGGTGGTCTGGCTGACGGAATAGTCCTCGATGCCCAGGACGTCCACAACTTGCTCCATTTTGCTGAAGACTTGGGCCAAGGAGATCTGCTCCGACTTCAGCTGGTACTGAACCTTGGTGTGATGACGTTCCTGAGTGGGAGCGGGGAGAGGGAAGGGAGTGGCCGTCACTCAAGCATGTCTTCTGACCCCAAGCACCACCCCGCTTCGACCCACTCAACCCACCCATGTATATGCCCATTGATTTGCTCATAAAGAAAGGCCAAGTTGGAGGGGGTGGAGTCAGGGCCCTTTTGGGGATGGCTCCCCAAATGTGGAAATATTGCTATTTATCATGATCTGGCATAAAAATAGAAATAGGAACATTATTATTATTATTATTATTAGTATTATTATTACTACTACTATTACCACTACTACTACTACTATTAGTGACTCCCTTTACGTCAAAACGAGACTCACCTTCAGGATGGCTTCCGGGAAGTTCCGGTTGAAGAATCGAACCACTTCCTTGACATTGAGGCTGGTCTTGGTGCGGACGGTGATCATGTAGCCATCTCCAAACCTGGATCGAGGGCGAGAGGACAGAAAGTCTTAAGGCGGATAACACAAAAAGGAAGAACTAGCCCAAATTATGACCTAAATCCTTGATGGTGGAAGTGGGGCCATGCGGACGTGCCCCAGGCTCCATAGGGACCTTCCAATGTACCTGTTCTTCAGGTGCTGGATGCTGCCGAGGCATTTCAGTCGCCCGTTGACCATGATGGCAAGGCGTGTGCAGAGTGCCTCACATTCCTCCATGCTGCAAAGACACAAGAGAAAGAAAGGAATCTGGTAAATGCCTGAATAATATGACCCATCGTCCCCATAGGGACCATATTTTGGACTTTGGGAGCCCTAGGCATGGCTGACCTGTGGGATGTTAGAACCACAGAGCGCCCTGTTTTGATGATGTCCAGGATGAGGTTCCACAGGAAGCGCCTGGCCTTCGGGTCCATCCCAGTCGTGGGCTCATCCTGGGGATGAAGAAAGGACACTGAAGTGCCCTCAAGACTTAAACAGCATGGTCTGCAGACATATTTGAACCGCAAATTGCATTTTCTGCACAGAAAACCATCTTTTGGTGCAGAAATGTCAATGGTCTGGGAGGAGAGGCAGGGGGTAATATATAGCATCTTATCAGAACAGAACATGTCTCTTTTTCTGCACATTTTTGCACTTGAAACATTTCCTGCAAGGAAAAAAATGGCAGTGCAGAGGGTTGGGGGGTGGGGAGGAAGATGGCAATGTTTTGCATATTACATTTTTGCAAATATTACATTTTTTGGGACCAGAACTATGAGGATTCTCATCACTTCGAGAGTCTCAAAATTCAAAAAATGTGGTTTTTGCCTACTATTTTTAATATATTATATTATTCCATTTACTATATTCAATATGTTTGTTATTTAACATTGGAAACTACTGATGAGAAATAAGAACTATTTTTTAAAAAATCAGTCATTGTAATTCACAATTCTGTCACTAGGTGTCGGTAGAGATCTGCTGGGTTCCGTTTGCATGAAACCCAAGCAAAAAGGATGACATGTTAGATTCCTGGAAGCTTATGGATCTCGATCAAGACAGAAAATAAATATAATAATAGTAATAGTAATGGATGACCTTGCCATCGTGACCCTGTAATTCCTCACCAGGAAAATGAACGCTGGGTAACCAATAAGGGCGATCGCGGTGGAGAGCTTCCTCTTGTTTCCTCCGCTGTAGGTGCTGGCAGGTTTGTCTGCATATTTGCTCAGTTCTAGCTTTTCCAGGGCCCATTTCACAACCTGCAGGGAGAAAACCCCAAATGTCCGTAAAGTGTGACCCTTGCACTATTGCACAAGCAGGATACAAGAGTGGCCATGTCTGACTTCAAAATTTCCACCATGATCAAACACTACTAGACTCTGGACCTTCCTTGGAAGCTATAGATGACGTTCTGCATTTCTAGGCCACCTTACAAGTTCTAAACAGGCCATATTCTAATAATAATAATGTGATAACATAATATAATATAATAATATATTGTATATACATATAATACTGATAATATAATGTAATACAATATAATACTAATAATAATACAATATTATAATTATATTTTTATATTATATGTAATATTACTAATAATATTAAGTATAATGGTACAGTACAATACAGTAATATATAATACTAATATTGTGCTATGGTTATAATATATTGTATTTACATATTGCTTGTAAGCCACTCTGAGTCCCCTTCAGGGTAAGAAAGGCGGCATATAAATGTCATAAATAAATAAATATTCTATGCCCTAGGTTCTAATTAAAGTTCATTTTGGATGGGTTCCAGGTCAGTCTAAATAATCTGGTTGCCCTCCTTTAGGTTCTAGGCACATGGTCTAGATTTAGGGCCAGTTCTAGACTCCAGGAATGCCTTAAAGCTATGTTTTAGGTCACCCTACAATCTCTTCCTCAAAGTTCATGCTGGGTGCGTTCTAGGTGCTACATCATCCAAGAATGAACCAAGCGGAGCAGTGGGGTTTTCCCTCAACGTTGAGTGTGACAGGCCATTTTGAACCTCTTTGATAAGAGTCTCTTGGAGTCTGAGGTGAAAGAGGCGTCCAATTTGAATCTCCATTTCCCACCGTTCCCTCACACTCCAAGGGATTCTATTGAAGGGATCCAAAATGGATTGACCTCAGGCACCAACCACTGGTGGGCCACACCCTGCAATTCCTCCATTGTGGCCATGGCCCCTTCCTCCTCACCCTCTCCTGGTCCTTCCAAGGGACACCACGCAGGCGAGTGTAGAGCTCCAGGTGCTCCCGGGCGGTCAGCTCCTCAAAGAGGGCGTCAAACTGCGGACAGTAGCCCAGGCTCTGCTGGACCTGGAGGAGATCCCTCAAGATGCTGCCAAGGAAGGAAGGGGAAAAAAGCAAGCAGACATAAATAATAATCAGTCATCAATACAACAAATAATTATTGGGGGGGGGGAGATAAAGAATGCGTTCAACTCCATTCGAGGGAAGTAAAAAATAAGCAATTCAGCCTGGGTTCCACTCTATTGGGGGGGGGGGGGTTTGCCCCGTATTGTGGCAGGAGGGGGGTTCCTCAATGGAGCCCACCTGTGTCCGTTGACGAAGGCCTCTCCGCCGGTGGTGCTTTCGTCACCGGTCAGCATCTTGAAGGTGGTGGTCTTGCCGGCCCCATTGACCCCCAGTAGACCAAAGCACTCTCCTGGCCGCACCCCAACACACAGCCGGTCCACCGCCAAGATGCGGCCCATCCTTCGGGATTTGTAGACCTACCAGGGAAGGAGGGACACAGAAGCCCCGGGTCACAACTTGCCCTTTCCCCGCATGGCCGTTCCCACGTTCAACTTCCCCCTTTCCTCACCCACCCAACTAGCCCATATTATGACGTTCTATTATTATTAGTTTATTCCCGAACATTATCACTGATCTGTGCTTTCACCTACCCCGTCCAACTATCATATATTATTATATTTTAATTATCATTGTAGTATAACATTATTTTACTACCTAATACTATCATTTCCTTGTGCCTTCACCTACCCTACCCTTCAACTATTGTATATTATTATACTATAATTATCATTGCATTATATTATTTTACTACCTAATAATTGGCCTGAGATTTCACCTACCCCATTCAATTATCAGATATTATTAATATATTATAATTATATTATTATTTTAGTACCCAGTACTATCATTGACCCGTGCTTTCACCTATCCCATCCAACTATCATATATTATTATTATTATTATTTTATTATTATTTTACTACCTAATACTATCATTGATATGTGCTTACACCTACCCCATTCAATTATCAGATATTATAATTATTATTGTATTATTATATCATTATTTTACTACCTAATACTATCACTGGCCTGTAATTTCACCTACCCCTATTATATATTATTATATATTATATTATAATTATTGCATATAATTATGCTACTTGTTTTATTTTTATATTATACTGCATATTAGTATAGTAAAGTTAAGTGATATTAAGTCTAGTCATGTACGACTCTGGGGATTGGTTCTCATCTCCATTTCTAAGCCGAAGAGCCGGCATTGTCTGTAGACACCTCCAAGGTCATGTGGCCAGCGTGACTGCATGGAGCGCCGTTAAATTCCCGGAGCGGTACCTATTGATCTACTCATCATTATATAATTTCATATTATGTCACAATCATGATACTATATGATAACATAAAACAGTATAATAATATCATGATTGTAACATAATATGAAATCATATAATATAAAACAGTATGATATAATACAATGATGACTAAAATATATATAACACAATATGATATAATAATGATTATTATTACAATATATAATATAAAATAACACAATGGTATATTAGTATATCATTGTGTTATTTTATAGTATTATGACCATCCGTATTATATCATATTGTGTTACATTATTATATGATTTCATAATATGTTATAATCATATTATTGTACTGTGTTATGTTACTATATATTATTATTATGTTACTCATTTTATTTTTGTCCTGATGTTCTCTCAATACAGGTACTTGAGGTTTCATATTGTGTTATATTATTATATTATTTCATATTATGTTATAATTATGATATTATTATACCGTGTTATGTTACTATATATTATTATTATGTTACTCATTTTATTTTTGTCCCGACGTTCTCTTAATACAGGGACTCGAGGTTGTTAACAACAACAGCACCTAGGTCCTTCAGGTATGCCTTTGTTGGAAGGAATCTAACAACTAATACTACTACTACTAATAATATGATATTATAATTATATATTTTATATTACATGTAATATTTCTAATAATATTACAGTATAATGGTGTACTACAATATAGTAATATATAATACTAATATTGTGCTATGGTAATAATATAATATATTGTATTTACATATTACTTGTAAGCCGCTCTGAGTCCCCTTCCTAGGGGGGTCCTCTCTGCCACTGTGCTAACTATGAAGGAGGAGGAGTGGGGCCCACCTTGGTGAGGTTCTCGATCTTGAGCATGTCGTTGTCGGCATCCCCGCGCAGGACTCTGTGCCGCTCCTTGGCCACGTCCACGTCGTCTTCGATAGCTTTGGTCGACACTGGTAGCCGCCTGTTGGGAAGAGAGGCCCAGAAGCACTTTACACCCAACACTCTATGGACTGTGTTTAGGGGCCACAGAGGCAGCCCAAAGTGAGGGTCAACCCCCCCCCCCAACGTGAAAGTGTGTGAATCAAAGGTGGAGGATGGTGTGTGCTCAATCCCTTGGGCCCTTTTGCAAGGAGGATGGCACCCGCAGACGGCTTTTCTGCAGCGGACAGAGGGAGACTCACTGGGGTTTCCGGAGGAAGTTGTACTGGCACATGATAGTGAGGAAGAAGCCCACAAAGCCCTCAATGGTCATGGCCACCAGACCCCGGGTCACGATGTCCCACTCGAAGGGGGACTTCATCTTGTCAAACTGGCCTGGAAGACAAGGAAGAAAGGAAGGAGGAGTCAGTGGGTGATGGGCTCCGGAGTGGGTTGATAAAGGGAGGATGGCCAAGAAGCTCAGAGGCAGCCCAGCAAAATGCAATTGCGCCACTTTTGGTCCCAGGATGATATAGGGTTGTATTGGGAGGACACAGAAAGGCCTCTCTAGGAATTTCCCAGGTGTAACCCCCCAATGCAACTCTATGGTAACCTCCAGGCAAATTGTGTCATAGAATTGTCTATTAGATTCCAAGGGAGAGCATTTTAACTCTCGTTCCAAGGAAACCTGTGCAGCTTCCTTTCATTCCTTAGAATTCTTCCACTCAAAAGAATCCTGTACAGCTTCTGTTAATTCATTAGAATCCTTTCATCAAGATCCTTTCATTCAAATCCTGTGCAGCAACCTTTCACTCATTAGAATCCTGTCATTCATTGGAATCCTGCGCAGCTTCCTTTCATTCATTGTAATCCTGCACAGCTATTGGAATCCTGCCATTCATTGGAATCCTGCGCAGATTCATTACTGGAATCCTGCCATTCATTGGAATCCCGCGCAGCTTCCTTTCATTCATTGGAATCTTGCACAGCTTCTTTTCATTATTGGAATCCTGCCATTCACTGGAATCCTGCACAGCTTTCTTTCATTCATTGGATTCCTGCCATTCATTGGAATCCTGTGCAGCTTTCTTTCATTCATTGGATTCCTGCCATTCATTGGAATCCTGCGCAGCTTTCTTTCACCCATTAGAATCCTTCCATTCATTGGAATTCTGTGCAGCTTCCTTTCATTCATCAAAATCCTCCACAGCTTCTTTTAATTCATTTGAATCCTTTCATTCAATAAAACCCTGCGCAGCTTCATTTCATTCAAGATTATTCTTTCATTAATGGCATCCTGCACAGCTTCATTTTCACTGCATAAAAACCTGTGCAGTTTCCACCAAAGAATATCCCAAAACTATGGGCTGAGAAGCTTTTGTGTTGTTTTCAGCTTATTGCCAAATTGAGCGAAGGGATGCATGCGTGAGGAGAAGGAGAAGGGAGGAGGGCTTCTCACCGATCTTGGCGTAATACTCATTGATGTACTCGTTGTAGGCCATCTCCATCAGTCCGTGGCCCAAGTTGTAGTTGGGGAAGATCAGGAAGCAGGACTTCAGGTAGCTGTTCACCACCTTCAGGTCCTGCGGGAAAAGGCCCTCAGGGTCAATGGTCATATTATATTATAACCTATCTACCTAACTAGCTATCTTTCTACCTACCTACTGATCTTCCTATCTACCTGCCTATCTATCTAGCTACCAATCTTTCTTTCTACCTATGTATCTTTCTACCTATCTACTTACCTATCAACCTACCTATCTATCAAAAATTAATATCTGTCTACCCATCTCTTATATCTATGGCTGGATGGCCTTCTGTCGGGAAGGATCTGGGGATGTGCAATCCAACCCTGGGGCAGCAGCTCTGGATGTTGGGATCCGTGAGTCAATCAAGATGGTTTGTCTACCTGGGGATTCTGGGAGCTGCAATCCAACCCAAGTCCCCACTTCCCAAGGTCTGAGGCTGACCTTGTCATGCTCAAAGAGCTGGAGTAGGAAGGTGGCCACAGTGGCCGTGATCCCAATGAAGAGGTTGATGACGATGAGGAAGACGTAGGCTGAGCTGGGCACCTCGAACCAGAAGGAGGCCGGGTACATGATGGGGGTGATGGACCAGCTGTGGATCAGAGGTCAAAGGTAAGAGGAAGGAGAGACCGTCAGGACCCAAAGGCACCCAACCCACCTTCATGCCTTGAGAGGACTACAACTCCCATCCACCTGACTCACCCATAGAGCAGGAAGAGGGAGAGGACGGCTGGGAAGTTTTTGGGCGAAGTGTAGGCCGGAAGGTCAAAAACGAAGAGGATGATGATGCAACAGGTGGCCGGAACAAGGTAATTCAACTGCATATAATAATAAATAATAGTAGTTCTACGATGATAATAATGATAAATAATAACAAATGGTTACTATTATTAATAATTATAATAAATCGATAAATAATAATAGTAATGAATAATAATAATAACAATAATAATAATAATGTAACAGTAAATAAATAGTAGTTGTTGTGCTACCATGTCCCAGACGTAGTTGGCCAGCCAGTAGATGACTGGGTCGCAGCCACTGACGAACTGGAGGTGCTTGGCCTTGGTGGACTTCTCAGCCACAAGGAAGACCACGAAGCTGGCTGGGACGAAGGACATGGCCACGATGATGAAGATAGCAATGACTACGTCCGTCCCCTGCAACCTGTAGAGGGAAGTGGCAGCAGTCAGTGGCTCACAGGCCTCTTCCATGGCAGGGAGGGACCTCCAATTCCCCTTTGTGTGTGTGCAAGTACGTATATATATGTAGGAAGTAGTTCTGCAATCAGCAGACCAGAACAGACTCATTTATATATATATTATACACACACGCACACACAATATCACACACACATATATAAACATAAACACACACATATGTATAAATACATAATTCATAGTTTCATATTCAACAAATGCATATATACCATTTACAGTATACAGTTTTTTAGTCGACAGTCCAGAACAAAATCAATTCATTCACACACCCACACACTATATATACATATATAAACTGTGCATTCATATGCACAGAATATAACATAAATATTTATATATGTGTGTGTGCGCCATTTCTAAAAGAAACTGATATATTAATGTAATATAATGTAATTAAATTAAATATATAAATAAAAAGAAATATAAAATAATAAAATAGGACTCAGCTTGCCAAATAAGAACAAACTTGAGGGGTACCTACACATGATCCAGATATATAACGTAACATAACATAAATATAGTAATAATAAAACAAAAATATAAATAAAAATAAAAAATAAAACGGGAGTTAACTTGCCAAGCAAAAATGAACCAATGGGGTATATGAGTAATCCATATATTTATATAAAATTAAAATAAAATAAAATTAAACTGCATAAGTTTGCAAGCAAGACCAAAACAAAGTGGTACCTACAGGTAATCCAGGGAGAGGCTGGCGCTAGTCTTGTTCATGGGGTGATTGGTCAAGGTGATGCCTGGAGAGGGAAACCAAAGAGAAAGTGAATGTCATGATCTTATTTCCTGATGATGAAGATAGCAATGACTACGTCCGTCCCCTGCAACCTGTAGAGGGAAGTGGCAGCAGTCAGCGGCTCACAGGCCTCTTCCATGTGAAACCAGGAAAGTATGCCATGCCTTAGCCCTGTCCTGTGTATATTTGAAATCTGGGAGAGGGCTAGGATTAGGGAAATAAAGTGTCAGTTGGAATTTTGTTACGTTCCCTAATGCATGCTTTTGAGTTAAAGCCTTCCAACCCCAACCGCAACCCCAAGGTGTTGGTGGTGGGGTCTCACCGTAGGCAGCGGGGTTCCCCCGGCTCTTGGGGAGGTTTGCACGGAGGATGGCATTGTTGAGGGCGTTGAGAAAGGTGGGCATGCTGTGGTAGCCCTTGTTGTTGTAGTGGGCCTGGGCGGCTCTCCGGACAGCCACCTTCCGGACCGAGGGAGGGGCCCTGGCCCCGAAGGAGGGGGGCACTGCGCGCTGGACGTGGCCAAAGGTCAGTGCCCCATACCTGCAAATAGGGGGACAAAAAGGGGGTCAGGTTGCGGGGCAAAGGGGGTGCCCCCAAACCAAGGATCTGCCTTTAGTTTCAAGGGGGACTCATCTTCCTTGGACCTGAAAGGGGAAATAGGGGACAGAGGGACCCCATAAAATGGTGGCTATAGGGACCCCAAAAACAGGGATATAAGGACTCCACAAAATGGAGGATATAGGGACCCTACAAAATGGGGATATGAGGACCCCACAAAATGGTTGATACAGGAACCCCACAACATGTTGAAGACATGGACCCTGAAAAATGGGGCAGAGGCACTCCGCAAAACAGGGCATGTAAGAATTCCATGGAATGTGGGTACAGGGCCCCACAAAATGGGAGACACAGGACCCCCGGAATGGAAGGGAGCCTCGCCTGTGGAGCCGGAAGCGGTCAGAAGTGTAGAGCAGGTACTCTGAGACGTTGCGCCCCGAGACGTCCACCATGATGTCCCCGGTGACCACCTTCCTTTGGGGTGGGCGACCACCGACGCCAGAGGGGCAGGAGAAGCCAGTGCCCTGCATGGAGCAGCTGCAGCGGATGGGTTCGCGGAGGAGGGAGGGGGGCTCAGAAGTCGCTGTCCCTGGAGGGCAGAGGGCAAAGCAAAGAGGGGTCATGGGCACCCGGCACCACAGAAACAGGGCTCCAGCCCTACATCTGTCTGGGCACATCTCAAAAATCACATTCTATGTTTTCTTCACTATTGTCTCATGTATTTTCGTATGTATCTGGTTACATCTTAACTTCTGTATTACTACGTGATTTTACAGATGTATTTGACTACAATGTGCCTTTCATCAAGACACAAAAGGAGAGGTGAGTAATAATCATGTATCTATTAATAAAGTATTCCCATTTAGACTAGTTTTCAGCTGCCGACATTAATCTGGATGATACTACTGACAATATTAGTATGATTATTATATTCCCATTTGGACGATACGACTGGCAATATGAACCTACTAGGACTTTAAGATCACCTGGGGAGGCCCTCCCTCTTTCCTTCTCTATCCTTTCCTCTCTCTTCCTTCCCTCCTTTCCCTCTCTTTTACTCTTCCTCTCTCTTCCTCCCTCCCTTCCTTCCTTCCCTCCCTTCCCCTCCCTCTGCTTACCTCTGCTGGGGACGGTGGGGGGCTCCTGAGGGGGGCTCCAGGGGTGGTCCTCAGAGGAAGGCCCCTCAGAGGGGGCAGGGGAAGGAGGAGGGGGCACAAAGTTAGAGAGGGGCAGCCCCTGCGTGAAGGAGTCCAGGCACATGGCATCAAAGTACTTGGCTGCCAGCAGTTTGGAGGCATTGCTGCTGCCGCTGCTGCTTCCACCACCATTGAGGCTCCAGGCCTGGAGCAGGGGCTCCAAGGAGCCATTGGAGGCCGTCTTCAGGACACAGGTGGCCCCGACCCCGGAGGGTAGCAGGAAGGTCCCCACCAGTGCATTGGGCCCCGCGTCCGGAGACAAGTGCAGCCTGAGCAGAGACACACAGAGAGAACAGTGTCAGACAGCAGTGAAAAAGACCAATGCCATCCGGGAGGAAATACCAACTATGGCTTGACAATAGCTGGTAAAGGCTTTCCCCTGACATTATATAAAGGTTTTCTCCTGACATTATATATGTGTGCGTGTAAAGGTTTTCCCCTGACATTAAGTCCAGTCGTGTCCGACTCTGGGGGTTAGTACTCATCTCCATTTCTAAGCCGAAGAGACGGCGTTGTCCATAGACACCTCCAAGGTCATGTGGCCAGCATCACTGCATGGAGCATCGTTACCTTCCCGCCGGAGCGGTCCCTATTGATCTACTCACATTTGCATGTTTTCAAACTGCTAGGTTGGCAGAAGCTGGAGCTGACAGCAGAAGCTCATGCCGCTCCCCAGATTCGAACCTGCAACCTTTCGGTCAACAAGCTCAGCAGCTCAGCGGTTTAACCCCCTGCGCCACCAGGGTTTCCATATGTATGTGTGTATGTTGTGTGTGTTATATATATACACACACATACATATGGAAGGGATCTAGGAATCTTGTTAATAGGCCACAAGCTGAGGCCTGAGACAGGAGTGTGATGCGTCAACTCAAATGGCCAGGGCTCCACTCATGTCGCAATGTGTGTGTGTATATATATATATATATATATATAATATGAAGTATCTATCATATCCATGGCTGGATGGTCATTTGTTGGGAGTGACTGGATAGTGCCTTCCATTCATGGCAGGAGGGGGTTGGACTGGATGGCCTTTGGGAGTCCCTTCCAACACTAGGAATCTATGATATACCTATCACACATGCACAAACATATACACACATACACAAATATACACACACACACACATCTCAGATCAGTCTATGTTTCTATCACATCTGCCTGTCATTGATAGACTAGATGGCCTCTGGATTTCCCTTCTGAGGCCCAAACCCCACGGACCCAAGAACACATCAAGGCTGCTGCTCACCGGTCTCCGCGTCGCTCCTCGTTGGCGAAAGGGATGAAGTTGCCCTTGGGTTGCGTGTAGTTGTGGTACTGGGAGGGTGAGAGGATGAGTGGCGGGAGGTCCCCTGCAGAGGGAAGAGGTCAGACAGCGTCATCACCACAGAGCAGGACGCTGGGAGTTGTAGTCCAAGAGGGAAAGAAAGGGACCCAAAGCATATAGAGGCACCTTTAAGCTCCAAGCCCAATGCTCTATACTCTATAGGGTGCTTTGGGCTCCAATTCTCAGTTTCTCGACATTATCAATGGTTGGGGATGCTGGGAGTTGTAGTCCAAGGGGTAAAGAAAGGGACCCAAAGCATATAGAGGCACCTTTAATCTTTATGTTCAATGCTCCAAAGGGTGTTATGGGCCCCAATTCCCAGTATTTTTACACTGTCAATGGTTGGGGATGCTGGGAGTTGTAGTTCAAGGCCTTGGGACCCACAGTGTGGAGGCACCCTTAGCCTTTGCATCCAATGCTTCAGAGAATGCTCTGGTCCCAATCCCCAGCATCCCTGAATGATCAAAGGTTGGGGATGATGGACACTACAGTCCAAGAGAGGATGATGAAGATGACATACCGATCTCTGGGACAGAGAGGGCGACCGTCATGGCGACACAGACGAAGAAGGCGGGGAGCAGGATCTGGGAGGAGAGGGCTTTGGTGTTGCGCTTGGCGCAGTGGAAGCGCTTGACGATCAGGCCGTGGAACTGGCGCAGGCCCAGCTGGAAGCCCTCCAGCCGCCAGGCCCCGCCCCCTTGCACAGGCCCCGCCCCTATTAACGAGAGGGGAGGAGGAGTCAAGCGAGATTCCGGGAGGGATATCAATAATAATAGTCATAGTAATAATAGAAATAGTATTAATAATAACAATAATTAATAAATGGTAGAAAAGTAAATAATATAAATAATAATAAGATACAATAACTAAAATAATCAACAAACAAATTAATGCACAGAAGAAAAGCAAGCTATTATTATGAACAATAAAAAATAATAAAATATATATAATAACATATAATGATAGCAAGTAAATAAATGGTAGAAAAAGCAAGGTATAAATAGTAAAAATAGGATATAAGTACTAAAATAATCAACAAACAAACAAATAATTACACAGAAGAAAAAGCAAGCTATTATTAATAATAATACAAATAATAAGAAAGAATGATAATAAATAAATAAATATTTAGGGAAAAGCAAGATATAAATAGTAATGAATGAGGGAAAAATAAAAAAGAATACCCTTAAGGAGATCTGGGAAGAAAATTTAGGGATAAAAATAAGTGAAACAGAGTGGGAACAATTATGGGGACAAAGACATGTAAAAAATCTATCAATACGGGTTAAAGAAAATTATTACAAGTTAATATGGAAGTGGTATTTGACACCAGTAAGAATAGCATATATGAATAAAAATATCTTAATAAATTGTTGGAGAGGGTGTCAAGAACCAGGAACATATATACACATGTGGTGGCAATGTAAATATGTAAATAACTTTTGGGAGAAGGTATTTAGAGAAATAGAAGATATAATGAATATTAAAATTGATAAAAGTCCTAGTATAGCTTTATTATCATTATATAATAAGAAGCAATTGAAAAAGGAGGATAAAGAAGCGATAACAAATTATAATAAATAATAATTTAAATAATAGGATATAATAATAATGAATATTTGGGGAAAAGCAAGATATAAATAGCAATAATAATAGGATATTGTAAATAAATAAGGACAATAAATAAGTAAATACATGGAAGAAAAAGCTATTATTACTAATAACTAAAATAATACAAATGATAGAGTGATAACACCTTAACAACAATGACATTAAGAAGATATAATGATAATAAACAAGTTCTTGGGAAAAGCAAGACTTTCTTAATAAGAACAAAGACAATAAGATATTAATGATAATGAACAAACAAACAAATAAATAAATAAATAGAGAAAATACATGGAAGCATATAAATAAATAAAAGATAATAATAATAATATATAATAATAACGTAATAATAATAATAATTTATATCATTTATTTATGGGTCTCCTTGGCTTGTAAAGCTCCTGACCCACCTTGGAGGCTGCCACTTTCAGGGTCCTGCAAAGGGTCAAACAACGGAGAGTAATCCCCATAGAGCTGATGATGAGGCCCGCCGTCGTCGCCACGGGGGGAAGAAGACGAGGAAGAGGAAGAGGAGGGTTCTGGTCCGGGCTTTTCGAGGCTCTGGGGGGAGCCCCCCTTTGGGCCAGAGAGGCAGCGTAGGGACTCTTTTGGGGACTCCTTCATGTCTGCAAAGGAAGGAGAAAATGAGAGGCCCATTATTGTTGTTGTTGTTGTTGTTACACCGGGGTCCAAAGAAAACCAGAAGGGTCCTTAACGGGGGAAAAACCCAACTCAAACGCCATCAGAAAAGCAGAAACCAGACAGGACCATGGCAGACCTATGGAGATCCATGGGGAAAAACAAAGATATAAATAATATATAATTTTATATAAATAACATATTTTTATTATAACACTAGCCGTCCCCTGCCAGGCGTTGCAGTGGCCCAGTCTGGTGATCTGGAAAATAAAGTAATTATTTATGTAATTTCTTTATGCTTGTTGGTAAACTGTATTTCTTGCCATTTCTTTGTCAATGTTGATGTGGAGAGTGTCTGGTTTGCCCAATGGCAGACCCCAGTGATGGAACATGCTAGAGATACAGAACTTCTACATAAATGTTCTGTATATTTTGCCAATTTTATTTTTCAGATCAATTTTTTTTTTGTTAGAAAAGAGTTGTTTCACGGCATTTTACATGTAGATTTTTGCATGCAACATATCATTGTCCTTCTTTAGGGGTCCCTTTCAAATCTATGATACTATATCTGTGTGTGTCTGAATCATATCTATCTATCTCTATCTATGGCTGGATGACTCTCTGTCAGGAGGGCTTTGATTACGTTTTCTTGCCCTGGTGAAGAGAGTTGGACTGGATGGTCTTAAGTGTGCTGACCTTCTTTGATTGAGCGGATCATTTTGATTGTGCTGACCACCCTCATTGTGATTGGTGCGGAACACTCCATCAGCTCTAACCCCAGAAGGATTGTGTTGCCCATCTTGCCACCTGATATATCCGTTGGGGTAGAAATCCAACTTTTGAGAGGTGGGGGGGATTTAACCGCAGTAATAATAACAACTGTACTATTGACTGAACGGAGAACTTAAGAACTGATCGTTGTTCTGTCAACAAGTGAAGTGTGTAATTATTTTGTGTGATCTAGCACTTTACCCGACCAGCACTTTAATTTACTACCTCTGTGGCAACTGGACTACCAACTTATTGAACCTCAGCACTTTAATTGTCTCAACCAACCATCTAGCGCTGAACTTTAAGTCCTCCATGACGCACTTTATTTTAGCACTTTAGAGCCGATTGATAAAGCCATCGCATTTTAGTTATTTATACCATCTTGTATAATTCATCTGCACTTAAGAATCTTAGGAAAACTTCTCTGATAGTGCTTAACGGCTCATGCCACTCATGCCACTACCCTTTCCCTGGCAATTGTTAATCTTGCTGCTAATCGTTTATGGTGGAGAGAGGGAACGGAGTAGACCTGAGAGGTCTGAGTATAACACAGTGGGAGTGGGAAAGGGATGGAAGGCAGGACTATGGCAATTTGAAGCTGCAATATATCAAATAGTCAATAATGAACTGTATGTTGATATTATGGTGGCTGAATGCGTCATGGAGGAGGGAGAGGGTTCCGTTAACCGGGGAGCCCCCATAGAAGTCGTGGTGGGGAGGGGGAGATACGGGAAAAGGAGACCTTTAATTCGGCCTAGGGAACGTGGAACAACATTAGTAATCCCAAATCGGTCTCCTGATATGGTAAGTCAGTGTAACCAGGATGGCGGGCCCTCCGAATTGAAAATGGTGCTGTTGAACGCCAGATCTGTCAACGGTAAAACAACTTTCATCCAGGATTTAATCCTGGACGAACGGGCAGATCTGGCGTGCATCACAGAGACCTGGTTGGACGAAGCGGGAGGTGTAAACTTAACCCAGCTTTGCCCACCAGGGTTCTCTGTGCAGCACCAACCGAGATCCGGAGGGTGGGGAGGCGGGGTTGCAGTGGTCTATAGAGATTCCATTCTTCTGACCAGGGCCCCCATCCCGCAGTCAACAAATTTTGAATGCGTCCACCTGAGGGTGGGTGACCGGGACAGATTAGGGATTCTGTTAGTGTACCGTCCACCTCGCTGCACTACAGACTCCCTGACTGAGCTAGCGGGGGTGGTCTCGGACCTGGCGTTGGAGTCCCAACGGCTGCTTGTGCTGGGGGACTTCAATGTCCACGCCGAGACCGCCTTATCGGGAGCGGCTCAGGACTTCATGTCTACCATGGCAACCATGGGGCTGTCCCAACAGGTATCTGGCCCCACCCACAGTGCTGGACCTACATTGGACTTGGTTTTCTGCCAGGGATGGGAGGAAGGTGGCGGTGTTGAGGAGTTATCCATCTCTCCGTTGCCATGGACCGACCACCACCTGGTCAGCTTTAGACTCACTGCACCCCCTAACCTCCGCAGAGGTGGAGGACCCATTAAGTTGGTCCGCCCCAGGAGGCTTATGGATCCGGATGGATTCCTGACAGCTCTTGGGGAATTTCCCGCCACCTCGGTTGGTGATCCTGTTGATGCTCTGGTCGCTCTCTGGAATGGGGAGATGACTAGGGCAATAGACACGATCGCTCCAGAACGTCCCCTCTCAAGTAGCCGAGCTAAACCAGCTCCTTGGTTCACCGAGGAGCTGGCAGCGTTGAAGCGAAAGAAGAGGGAACTAGAGAGCGTGTGGCATTCGGATCCGAGCGAGCCAAATCGAACACGGTTTGTGTCCTTTTTAAGGGCATATCGCACAGCGAAGAGGGGGGGCGAAGCCCCTCCGTGGGCTAGAGACGGCCGAGGCGGAGAATCGGGGGCCTTTTGAGTTTTTCTCAC